ATTTAATCAAATTAGAGACTTTTATCATTATAAGACCTCATTATAATTTACAACAAAATACTTGATAAAAATTTATAAAAATAATCAGACATAATAAAAATTAAGTGTCCCTAAAGATAGATACCAGAAAATTTTAGATTTCAGATTTAAACTTTAGCTAATATTGGACAAGTCTACATTTATAAAAAAATATTTTAGAAAAAAGAGACTAAATAACCATAAAATACGATATTAGATTTTAAAATTCGAATTTATTTCGAATTCGAAATTCTTATTTTTCAAAAAAAATTATTTTAGAAAAAATTATTTTTCTCTTTTATAAGATTAAATACTTATTTAAATAATCTGTTAGAAATAGGAGGAATAATAAATACTTAACGGATTTCATTATATAATTATATCGAAGTCCTATGGTGAAATGGGGTTTGAATAGAAATAATCTTCATATATGGATCGCGGGGATCTCGGAGGTTGAAAATTCCAAGGTTTGGAAGGCTTGGAAGAAAAATTAAAAAAACTTCCTTTCAAGGCTTAGAAACATGTCCTCACGAAGGTCCTCACATCCTCACATTTACGAGCTAATCTTTAATTACCAAATATCCGAAGCCGAGAACCAATGGTCCATATATGACTTAATTCTATTCGAACCCCTTGTGGACTTTATTGTTATTAATTTAGAACCAGCATACAAGGAATCATTACCACATTGAAAATCGTAACTGTAAACTGGACCCTAATTTTTTTAATTTGGAATTAAAAAATAAACAAGTAAAGCCTTATTTAGAAAGGTTATTTTAATATTGCCTGATTTTTAAGTAGAGTTGTAGCAACTTGGACAAGCGAAACATCATCGGCTATAAACATTAAACAAATATTAATAATTATTTGGCGTGAATGGAAGCAGATAATTTTATCATTAGAATCCAAATTAATAACGGCAATATGTAACAATTTTGGAATATAATCATTCCAACCAATTGAAGTTTTTAATCCAATTAAATCGCAAAGTAAAAAGAGTGACATATGGCTTCTAAAATTTAAAAAATATTTCAAAAAGAAAAATGGCAAAAAAAGGAGTTAAAGGTAGACATCAGGGGTGGAGCTCGTCTCGTATCTTATGAAATCTCGTATTTTTGAGAGATCTCGTATCTCATGAATCTAGTGTCTCGTATTTTGAGGCACGAGCTACATCACTGGTAGAAATATATAAATTGTAGAGATCGAACTGGAAATGTCGTATAGGAATCGAAATCAATATCTCGGAAAAAATCTAACACGATCGGAATCTCAGTCCTATCTCTAATAAATAGTTAAATATTAGGGTTGTTCAAAAAAAATTAACTGTTTCCCCCCATTTTTTGGGTTTGTTTGAACGCTAAAGAACAACCATAGTGAATATTTATACAAGAAAAGAATAGATTTAGGTGATCGCTTAGACTTGGAATCCAGAAATTATTCATTTCCATGTAGAAATTCAAAAAAAATTTTTCACCTTGAAAGTAAACATCCATTATTATTATTTTGTGGTTGAAAAAGTAAAGAAAGTCTTGAATAATTTCCACCATAAGGAGGCATTGGTAATTGTTTTGGAATAATTTTTAATAGAGAATTTAATGTTGTTGTTTCTTGATTATTTATATTTTTTTCTTCACAAAATTCTTCCTCAATTATTTCTTCATTATTATTAATTTCCTCAATTTTATTTTCAAAATTTTCTTCTTTTTTTGTTTCATTTTCCCAACGATAAAATGGGGGCATTTCTGATCGACACAAAAAATGTTTAAATGGTTTTCCAACGTTTTCTAAATTATTTACAAGTAATGAAACAAATTCTTCACCACAAGCTTCAAGAAGATAAGAGGATATTTTCTTTGCCTTTAAATTTAAAAAAATTCTGATTTTTAATTTGTTAAATTAATAATAAGCTAAACAACTCGTATGTATGTTTGCTACAAGTTTATATAAAATTCTGATTTTAAATTTGTAAAATTTTTACAAATTCTGATTTTAAATTCTGATTTTTATAAATAATGTTTTGATTAAATTCTGTTTTCTGAATTAAAATAAAAACTATTGTTTTGGGAAAGACAAAATCAATCAAAATCCTGATATTTTTAAAACATGTATAAAATCAGAATTTTATCCAAACAAAAAACACAAAACATGTAGAGTACCTTAGAACAAACATGTTCATATAAAATTCTGATTTTAGTTGCAAAATTTTAAGAACAAATTCTGGTTTTTAAAACATGTTTTGTTTAAATTCTGAAGTGTAAAATTCTGATTTATAAATTGAAACAAAAATTCTGATACTTTCTTTAAAAACATTATAAAATCAGAATTTTATCCGAATATTCTTCAAAACATAACTAAACAATTGTCTTTTTCTCTAACTTACCAACGGAAGCATGTTTTCCAACGACAGAGAAATCATCATAAAAAGAAAATGAACAATAATAGGCAAGTTTGTTGTTTTATAATTTGTTGCCAAACATTTCCACAATTCTCTAATTTCTTTATCATGTTCACAACTTAATTTAGCCGTTAAAAACAACAAATTATTTAAAAGTAATTGTGTTGCTTCTTCTGATCCCCAACCACTTTCTTCTTTGCTTTCTCCTTCTTTTAAAGGTAAATAAATATCACAATAATTATCAACCAAAACAATATTTTTTATCCATTCATGCAAAAATATTAACATTGAAACTTGTCTATTTGGACGTGCAGTTTCTATTCTTGAACAAATTTCTAAAATTAAAAATAAAATTTTTTAAATTTAATTTGAATAAATATTCTAATAGAAGCCCACCCCTATTAAAAGCCCACTTGATGAAGGGTAATAAAAAATAGAAGCCCAGGGTTTCTATAAGGATATTTAGGATTAATTCTAGGAAAATTTAAAATATGTGATTTTAGTGAAAAAAATTTCAGTTTTTAATAAAAGTAAGAATTTTTCCTTCGCTTTCGATCTCTCTTTAGTTCTATTAATTACAAAAAGTCTGCCTAATATAAAGGTAAAAGACAATAAATCACAAAAACTACCAAGATTTCATTCAAGCTGGAACTCCCTTCCCCTTCAAAAAATCTCGAGTTAAAAATAAGAAAAAATAATTCTTGGATAAAACTATCAATAACAGAGGTGATTGATAGTTCGGAACAGTCAGAGGCGTCGAAAATCGGAACTGGCTCAAAAGTCGGAACTCGGAAATCAGTCTTTTTTCGGAAATCGGAATTCCGACCTATCTCTGGTTAATAGGTACAGACAAAAATTTTAAAAAAACTCTACCAGAAAAAATAGGCATAGTAAGTTGAGAATATTGTTTAGCTAATTGTTGACTTATACATGTTTGGCTTATTGAAAAATAACTTAAAAAGAAAATTAAAAAAAAATTTTTTCCTAATTCTCCTACTTTGATTTCAATTCCAATTTATTAATTAACCGAACATTTTTATTGTGTTCATCCACAATTGAAGACAAATTTAATGGAGATAAATTAATATCCAAAAATTGCCTTTTTAAAAGAGAAATAAATAAATAGGTTGTTTGACGAATTGAAGAATCTTCTGCATCTGAAGCAAATGTTCCACATAAACATAAAAGTGAAATAAATTCACATGGATATTCTCTTAAAAATAAATTTTTTTAAAATGAATTTGGGGGTTTGGCAATGCTAGTACGTCCCCAATAAAATTGTGAAAAGTAAAAAAAATAAATTTTTAAATTTGTCAATAAATTTTGTCTAGAACAGAATGACCGGGAATGGAGTAAATAACAATAACCGGCAATAACATATGTATGACCTGCCAACGGGGCTGTCCCCAATTGCGGTTGCGGAAAATTGCTTTCACTTGCGGACAGCCCTGCCGGCCAACCACCACCGGCCGCTATTTTGAGTGCCGGAAAATTGGGCTCTGGAAAATTGGGCTCCAAGATTTTTCGGAAAATTGGGCTCCAACTTTTCGGAAAATTGGGCTCCAGCGGAAATTTGGGCTCTTCGTGAAAAAAACGGAATATTGGGCTCTAAAATTTTGGGCTCCAGAGGAATTTTGGGCTCTATGGAAAAAAGTCAAATTACGCAATATCAATGGGGGACGTCGTTAGTATGACGGGGGTCAACGGGGGATGTTATTCCGTCAACGGGGGAAGTTGTTCCGTCAACGGGGGATGTTGTTCCATCAATGGGAGATGTTGTTCCACCAACGGCGGCGGTACATCGGCGTGTACCCAATACAAACATCTCTTTTTTGCATAATTTGACTTTTTTCCATAGAGCCCAAAATTCCTCTGGAGCCCAAAATTTTAGAGCCCAATATTCCGTTTTTTTCACGAAGAGCCCAAATTTCCGCTGGAGCCCAATTTTCCGAAAAGTTGGAGCCCAATTTTCCGAAAAATCTTGGAGCCCAATTTTCCAGAGCCCAATTTTCCGGACACCGCTATTTTTTAAGATTTTGTCCAAATTCTTGTTATTCCGTCAACGGGGGAAGTTGTTCCGTCAACGGGGGAGGTTGACCCGTCAACGGGGGAAGTTGTTCCGTCAACGGGGGATGTTGTTCCGTCAACGGGGGATGTTGTTAGAATGAATGGGGTCAACGGGGGAGGTTGACCCGTCAACGGGGGAAGTTGTTCCGTCAACGGGGGAAGTTGTTCCGTCAACGGGGGAGGTTGTTCCGTCAACGGGGGATGTTGTTCCATCAATGGGAGATGTTGTTCCACCAACGGCGGCGGTACATCGGCGTGTACCCAATACAAACATCTCTTTTTTGCATAATTTGACTTTTTTCCATAGAGCCCAAAATTCCTCTGGAGCCCAAAATTTTAGAGCCCAATATTCCGTTTTTTTCACGAAGAGCCCAAATTTCCGCTGGAGCCCAATTTTCCGAAAAGTTGGAGCCCAATTTTCCGAAAAATTTTGGAGCCCAATTTTCCAGAGCCCAATTTTCCGGACACCGCTATTTTTTAAGATTTTGTCCAAATTCTTTTTCCTGGAGGATGAATTTGCAGTAAATATTCCGTATATTTTTCAATTCAACCGAGTTTCAAATTCAACCGAGATCCCCCAGACCCATATATGATTATTATTTCTATTCGAGTTCCTTATCACTATAGTACTTGGGTAGAATTAATTTAAAAAATATAGGCAGACCCTATATGAGAAAAAACAGATGAGTATGAGTACGGGAAACAAAAAAAAAACCCGGAAAACCTATCACTCCAACTCGGTACGAATAACATAATGGAAGGCCAAGTCCTACACAAAATCATTATTTTACAGAACCCAAAACCCAACATAGAAACACAAAATAAAATTGCGGGACAAACCCCAAAATAATTTTTAAAAATTACTAAAAAAACCTCTGAGAAAAAAGCAAAGCCAAAGAACGAAAACAACGAGAACCAACAAGCTCGTCTTTTATGTAACACATTTGCAAAACTTTTTCAAATAATTGAGGATAATTTTCGTTTAAATGGAGCATTGTACAAAGCAATTCTTCACAAATTCCGTTAATCTTTTTTAAAAAATAAATTTTTAATATGAAAAAAAATATTAGAAACTTGGAAGGACGTGGGAGACACTCTCCCCATTTATCCCTGGAACGAAAAGAAAACACGTTTGAAGGGGTAAGCCTAAAATGAAAAGACTCATTTCTCCCTAAATATATGCCTGAATTGTTCAAACATTGTAATTATTTATAGGCCTGTATAAGGTTTTTCTTGTACCTAGTTTTTCTTTGCACTATCGTGTAGAGCAGGGTCGATAATCTATTGCCAAGTTTTGCTTTTTTTGGCCCTACCCTCCAAATCGGAAATGGACTCATTGTCAGGGGTTTGATTTGTTAACCTGGGCTGGATCCTCGGCCTGTAGTCCAGGAAAAACCAGGAAGGTCAAAAAATCCCTGGGCCTGGATTCTAGGTACAGCAAAAACCCAGGCCTTGGTCCAGGCCCAGCCCGATCTCTAATATTTATCAATTAAACCCAAAAAATATTTTTTAAAAAATTTAAACAGAAACCGTAGAATTATTAGAAGACAACAAAGCTTCTACCCATCTCAAAATATAATCTTCATCTCCAAATTGTCCTTGACATTCAAAAACACTTCCTACACAAAAAAGTGCACACATTGCTTGAATTGCTTTTTGTTCAACATGAATACCGACATCATTTTCTTTTCTTAAAAAAATATTTTTTAAAATTGGTTTTGACGGGGTAACTAAGAGAACAATAACCCCGAAATAAAAATTTAAATCTAAATTTTATGGAATACTTTATGGAATTTTGTCATTTCTAATAAAACAAAGACAACCAAAAATCTACGGAAAAATTTAGAGATTTGAAGGGAAATTGAAAGGCGTGGAATAAATTGGGGATAAAAAAAGCATAACACAAAAACTCAGAAGATATCCGAAAATAGTGCTTTACCAATAAAAGTTTTATAAAAAGTGTGGAATAGAGAGAAAGAAAAAGAAGTTTGAACTTGATACTTGCCAATTTTTTGAACTTGAGCCAAAGAAAATAAGAAAAAAACCCTCAAAAAAGTCAGAAAACACTTCAGAATTGACATGGACCCATTAATGTTTAAATCAAAAATGAATCATTTCTCCATACTTTAGAGAAAGAACTCAACTAAATTCAACACCTTAACCCCCAAATTTCTTCATTTTATTTAACACACAAATCAAAGAATATTAATTTTAAAAATTAAAAAAAACCTTCTATTATCATTAGAATTTGCCAAAATTCGACTGCACCAAGAAAAGAAGAGGAAGAATAATGAACGACGCAAATCCATCGGTAACAAATTTTCTCGTAAATCGACTAAAATTTTGGGTAAAAATAAAATTTTATAAACCCAAAAAATACGTGAAACACTGCAAACAATTTCAGTAACAACTTTAGCAAAATGTATTCTCATTGTTTTAACATCACGAATCTTTAAAAATTTAGAAAAGTAAAATTTTTAAAACGTGTTGTGTCTCTCTATTAATAACCCTCTGAATCGGGACTAGGCCATTAGGGCGCGGGGCCATTAGGGCGCGAGCTTATAAAACAGTGAGTTGCTTATCAAAAAAGATAAAATTTTGCAATAATAACTCTCATGCCTTTATCTACGTTCTCCAAAAATTTCAGAATTTTTGATCAAGAATTTCGGAAATTGTGGCCAAAAACCCCGCGCCCTTATGACCCCAACCCTCTTAATCTAGATAAATTCAGCAGATGAAATATTATTCATTCATTCTTCCCCGGAGCCAAAAGCCATCATAGAGCGGAAGCAAAGAATTTGAAAATCCCGAAGTCAAAAATACACAATACCCAGACTGACAGGCTTGCTCAAGGATAAGAAAATACCCGTAGAGACGGGCGGTTCCGAAATCCTGCCGACAAAAATAATAAAGGAGCAGGCCGCCAAGCTATAACTTCGTTTAAAATTATCAAATCTGGGACGCCTTGGTATGGTTTGATGCGCCTCGACGAGCTAAATCGAGACATACCAGGGCGTCCCGGATTAGACAATTTTGAATGAAGTTATAGCCAAGCGATAGAAATCCTACCGACATAAAAATCCTACCGAAATCCTACCGACATAAAAAATAAATTTACGTTTTTAGGACAATAAAAACTGCAAAATCCCCACATAATTGTAAAAAACTGATTACATTTTTTATAATGATAATTATTAAATTATCATTACATTTGAATATTTATTAATATTATTAAATATTTTTAAATATTAATTTTTATAAATTTATTTTTAATCTTTAATCTTAAAATTTATTTTTATTTATAAATTTTTTAGTTTTTCTCTTTTAATGCAGCTGCGCAAAAGAACAAAAGATGTTTACTGTTAGAAAATTTTGTGACAGCTTTTTGACATTTTTCTTCGCTTTTTAATTTCATTCTATTAATTTTCTACAACTTTTAAATTTATAAATAAAATAAATATTTTTTATTTATTTTTTTGTTTTTCGCGGCCCCCTGTTTTCTTTAGTGGCGACCAACGCTGAAAGAAAGAACGCTGTGGTCTTCTAGTGGACTGATTTTTGGATAATTTCATCAATCCTGCTATTAAGCGGACAATATTGGGCAGATAAGTTTAAAACAAAATTTTTTTAACAAATATAAATCTGTAGATAAAACGTAAATAATTTTAAAATAAATATTAATTGAAAATTTTTTAATAGGTTTAAAATACCGTTTATTTAATTTTTAAAAAAAATTTTATATTTTAAATCTAAATTAAATTTTGTTTAAGTTATTTTATTCATTTTAGACGATAACAGAATAAGTCCCCATTTTCATTTCTTGGGGGGAAACCCCCTCATATTTTCTCACAATCCCATTTAAATTTTACTTAGTTTATTTTTAAATTCTAAATTGAAAAATTTATTAAAATTTTCATTTCGTTCTTTTATAATATTTTTTATTCCCCGCCCTTTAATTTTTTGATTAAAATTTCATTTCACTGGAATTTATTAAAATTCTAATTTTTTAAGGAAAATGGAAAGAATTGTAGTAAGGTATCGCGATAGAGAAATGAAGTATAGGGGAAGAGGTTACAATCCGGCAACCCCAAGCCGCATAGTTGAATATTCGCTTAACGAGTTCCAACCCGAAGAATCCTTTGATTTTAGTTATCTATTGAGAGATTGTAATGACCCGAATATTATAGGAATTGATCAAACAGATAATACTCTTATTAAAGAGTCGGTCCGATTTCCGTTAAGCTTTACTTCCAAAGTAATCAATAAAGATAAAATAAGATCCAGAATGATAAAATCAAAAGGGATAATAGAAAAAATCTCCTATTCAGGAGAAAAAGCTGAAAACGAGAGAAAAAAGGAGAGTATAAATTGTTCACCGAAAAATGAAACCAAAATTGATGAAAATAAACAAATTGAAAAAATTGATCGCGACAACAAACTTCCTATTAAGGAAGAAATCATTGGGGATCCTATTGAGGAAAAATTTCCCATAGATACTCAAATAAAAATCAAATTACACCAAAAAAATTATATGCAATTTTCAAAAATATCCCATATAAGGACGGAACTATGCAAGACATTTAGAAAATCCCTCGGAATCCCCGAGCCTAGAAGAGCTTCATCGAAGGGGGGAGGGTTGCATCTCGAATTACTAGATAAGACTCCTATTAAGGAGGTATTTCACTCAGAGATTAAACTATCCAGTAATTTAGAGATGCAATTCTTAAAACACACTCAAACTCATTATACTCCCAAGCATGGAGCTTCATCGAAGAGGGAAAGGTTGCATCTCGGATTACTTGACAGAGTTAAAAAGTGGTTTAATTTAATAAGAGTCGGAGCTAAAAGAATAAGAAAGCATGTAAAATTTAAGAAAAAAGATGAGACAAATTCTGAAAATAGAACCCGGACCAAGGACTAGGAACAGTTAGAAAAAAAATTGATGTATGAGAATTTAAAGATTAAGAACTAAAATTTCCTATTAAGGAATCAAGATAAAAAATATATTTATTTTTTATTTATAAAATTTCTGTTCATTCTTTTAATTTTTGTTGGTGTGGAATGTAAAAAACTGATTACATTTTTTATAATGATAATTATTAAATTATCATTACATTTGAATATTTATTAATATTATTAAATATTTTTAAATATTAATTTTTATAAATTTATTTTTAATCTTTAATCTTAAAATTTATTTTTATTTATAAATTTTTTAGTTTTTCTCTTTTAATGCAGCTGCGCAAAAGAACAAAAGATGTTTACTGTTAGAAAATTTTGTGACAGCTTTTTGACATTTTTCTTCGCTTTTTAATTTCATTCTATTAATTTTCTACAACTTTTAAATTTATAAATAAAATAAATATTTTTTATTTATTTTTTTGTTTTTCGCGGCCCCCTGTTTTCTTTATAATTAAAAAATATTAAAAAAATAAACCGTTTCAGATTCAACATGAAAACGAACAGATTCAATAAATTCAAGCAAAAGTGGAGACAAGGAACCAGAATGACGATCAAAAAAGGAATGGTCAAATAGTCTACGAGTTAGAGCAAGTTCAAGAATTCGAACTGAAAACGAAGGAAATTTTGTTTAAATTTTAGAAATAGCTAAAACATGCTGGGAAAAACTTTGCGGATTTTTGCCGTCGTGTCAAAAATTAACAATAAGTTTCAGTTGGATTGAAAGTCGAAATTGAAACAAAAAGTAGGGGCGCAGCCAGTGAGTCGATTTCAGGAGGGTCCCCTCCTCAAGTTTTCCCTTTTCCTCATTTCGGGGGAAGCTCTAGCTTCAAAAGCCACCTGACTACGTCCTTGACAGGAAGCAGAATCTTCTAGTAAAAAAAACTATACGCTAGTCGGGAGGAAGAAACGAGGATTTCAGTCTCTTGTAGTTTTACATACACCTCCCGATATCTAGATTCAAAAATGAAGTCTCCAAACTTCCCACTAAACACTCAAATTTAATTTTTACAAAAAAACATACGCAATTGCAATCTTAACGCGTCTTTCCTCTTTTTTCTTCTTAAATTCGTCTCGTTTTTGCGTTCTCCAACTTCTCTCAAAATTCCTTTTAGATTAAATTCTTCAAATAAAAGCCTATAAAAATAATTTTTTTCTAATAAAAACATACAAAAACAAACTCAAAACATTCAGAATTCATTGAACCCATTCCTAAAACAACTGCGTCTTTAATGTCTGTAGCCTCCCAACGAATCCTTTAAAAATTAATAGAAAAAATTAGTTAAACAAACGGTAGGAACCAGGAGTGTGCAGAAACAGATTTTTAAAGCGAAGGGTAAAAGTCAATTTTTAAAAAGCGAAACATGAAAGGCGAAAGATGAAAATGCGAAAGGCACACCCTGGTCGGAACCAACACAAAAAGAAACCCAACAGAATTAGGTAAAGTCCCGATTTAGGATAAATTTTTTAAATTTTGGTAGGTTAGAGGGCACAGACCGATAAGAACTGATGAAAATGCCGAAAAAATCGAAACTCAGAAATCAGGAAAAAATTTCGAAAATCGGAATTCCGACGACCTTTAGCCTAGAGGAGAAAGGAGCTTACAAAGTGATACTCCAAAATCTAACAAGATAACCTATGATTTTCCAAACAAAGGTCTGTCTATTTAGAAGTATTTTTATTAAACTTAATTTACATTATCGAAGCTTTTTGTAAAAGTTGAGAACAATTCAACAATCCTGTCCTTGTCATTTTGACTGAACTTATCATTGATTTGTTTACTTCAGAAGAATCACAGCTTCTAAAAAAATTATATTTAAAGAAAAGTTTGAAAACTGACACATGAAAAAAAGTTGTTTCTAGAGGAAATTCATTTTGGAAAACCAAAAGCCCCCAAACACAAAAAAATCTAACGTTCCAAAGGAAATATAATATAATTCCTACAGCAAGGATGGGTCGAGTTACACTAGCTCTTCCCTTCAGACTTTTTACGACACGAAATTCGAAGAAAATTCTGAAACCCTAATCAAGAAAATTCTGAAACCCGTCTCTTTTCTCACCAGTCCCACCCACCCCCTAAACTTTCAAAATTAATTCTTGGTTACCCTATGAAAGGAAATTTGGTTAAAAAGCAAAAAATAAAGAAAAAATAAACAAACGGAGAAAAACTTCTAATTAATGAAGGATTTGACAAAAAAGTAGTTTTTGATTGGAAAAGACCAAAAACCATTACAATATATTTTTGCCACAAACTTAAATAATTTTCATGGCTAAGTATATCTCCACATAATGGCCAATTTGTATATCTACTTTTACTGCTTCGAAGAAGAGAACTTCGATTTTCATTTTGTGGATTACTGAAAAAAATAATTTTTAGATTAATTTAAATTTTTAGAAAAAATACTTTGGATCAATTATTTGATGACAATAATTAAAACGAGTAAGCAATGCTGGCCAAGCAAACTAAAATTAAAAATTTTTAAAAATTTTCTTACATGATGTAAACAGAAAATTAAGGCTCTTGTATTTTTTAAGATCCCGTGAACAAAATGATCAAAAGTCATAACGGTCAGCCAAATTTTAAACGTGCGGGTCAATTTGAAATAGCCGGCAAATACCACTTTGTAAGATTTTTGAGAATCTACCCTTTAACTTAAGAATCTAGCAGTCCAACATTGACTGGCCCTAACTCCGCCCAAAGTCATTTTGAGCGGATATCATTTCACAATAAAAAGTCAAGGGTCTCGAGGTCATATATCGAAAATGTTCCCCTGTTAGTATAGTAGGTTAATGAAATAAAGCAGCTGGGCTATAGCTATTTCTCTCCTTTAGCTAGTGCAAAAGGTTATTCGATGGCTGGGAGTGAGTGAACCAGCATCTTCAGTAGACAAGACTGATGTGTTATCCATTACCCCACGCCGCCTGTCTTACGCTTTATTTTATCTGTCAGTTTAAGTAATCTAAAAAAGATTCTTACAGATATTGCAACTGTACATTTTGACGGAAGAAAACGATGCTCAGAAAATCCCGAAAGAGCACTAGCCCAAACATCCCAACGCAAATATTCATTTCCATGGTCTTCATTTACCAAAAGCGGATCAGTTCCAACATTTGATACAATCTCACAAAATGAAGCAAAGTCTTTGTGCCAAGTTTTCTGGAAAAGTATACTTTTAGTGTAGTTGGATAGGTTTTGGTTTCGACCAAAGAGGGACAAGGGTTCGAGTCCGGTTGACGGAAATTGTTTTTAAATTAGAGGAAACAATTTTTAACAAACTTAAAATGCAAATATGGGCACTTTTTCTATTTATTTTGAAGAGTTTTGAGGGGAATCCCGCCATGTCTCTACAAAAAATGACAACTCGGAATTTCCTTGACGGTAAGATCGGACAAATTCTGTCTGTCAAATATGATGTACATATCATCAGAACGCCTGAGTTATTGACCCCTCTCTCTCAATGCAAGAGACGTATAAAAATATGTATATTCTGAAAAAAAGCTCATTGCTAGTAATAAGACGTTTCTCTGACCGCAGCAGACCACTGATCAGTCTTTATGAGGCTCTTGGATTGAGAGAGTGGACACAGGAGCTCTGAAGATATTTTACAAACAGAATTTGGAGATCTACTTGACAGTATAACGTGATGAAAAGGTTTTCAAATATTAAAAAAACAAAAAGAAACCTTTTCATTTTCAGAAACATGTTGAATATATTTTTCCATTACATAAGGTGTTGCCTCATCCAAAACTTCAATTACTGGCGTCTCATAATGCTTAAATCAAAAAATTTTAATTCAGAAAATTTCAAAAAAAATTCCAAACATGTTTTTGTGGAAAACAATCCAAAAATCCTTTAACTTCGTATAATAAAGAAATTGCCATTCTTTTAATTTGTGGCCTCAATTGACATAAAAGTGTTAATGCTAAACCTTCTATACAATGAAGAGCAAAAGCTGTAGCACTTATATAACGTTCAAAGGATGTATGGGAGTTGGTTAATTCGCCTTAAATTAAAAAAAATTTTAGGAAATTAATTTAGATTTTGCCTGATTAGAATTCTCTATCCGAATGACAAAAGAAATTTATAAAGTTAATATTTTTTTCAGAATTTTCTTTATGGTCAGAAAACCAAAAAAGTTTAATTAAAATTTTTTCACAAAAACATAGCAAAAAATCCTTTTGAAGTTATTTACCTTTATTTGTCCGAAAGTCGCCAATTTTAGCCGCGATTTAAAAAAAATTGAATTTATTCAATTACTTAATTCAATTTACAAACTTCAATTAATACGAAAATTAATAAATCGAAGTTAACAACCTTCTGATAACTTTCGAAATTTAGGCAAAATAAAGAAAAAAGAACGCCCTTTCGTCCCCAATTGTTAAAAAAATTAATATGTCAATATTGAGGTAGTCAGTTCGGACTCCTTAATCCTCGGTTCTTCAGCCGAACCAAAGAACCGAAAATAAAGGAATTTTTAGCGTTAATATTAAGGTTATAAGGGTAGAACCGAAATGAAGAATCGCTACGATTTTTCCCGGTCGGTTCCGAATATCCAAAAAATTTTCCAAGAATCGACCTCCTTTGTCAATACATATTTTATGAATTATTAAAAAAAAAGCAAAACTAACAACTTTCCGAAATTGAAGATTGAGAACTAATACCAACTTTATTTGTTGAAAGTTTTAACATAATCGATTCATTCTTTTGATGTTCAATAAAATTTAATTTCCAAACTGAAAGCAATTGAAGTAATAAACGAACCATTGATTCTAATAATGTTGGGAATGTGTCCTTAAAAATATTTTTTTAATTTTGTGAAGCGCGCAATAAAACCAAGCGCCGAAATACGAAACCTTCTAATGCTACCCAAATAACCGGCTAACTCAAGAAACAGATAAATCGTGGGACGACAAGTCAAGGAAAAGACAGGTCGAGGAGCGACCAAATCATGGAATATTTTAAAAATCAGAAATTTTTTGAAAAAGCAGAATTTCTCAGAATTTTTTTTTTAAAAATTCCGATTTTTAAAATATTCCATGATTTTGTAATTCCTTGAGTTGTCTGTTCCTTGTGTTGGCATTCCTTGAGTTAGCCCTCACCCAAAATACCAAACTAATTGTGAGAAAATTAAAAACATAAATAGATATCGAATCATTTTTAAAGGTTGCTAACAATCTATATTTTGGTATTCTAGCGTGCCCTTCGGGGGATTGGTATTTCGGCATCCTCCCATAATTAAAAAAATTTCATTTTAAAAAACCTGTATTTGATTAATTAAAAAACGAAGAAAAATGTGGAATAAATCTTCTCTCCAATCTGGACATTCAGCAACCAAATTTTGAAGTGATTGGTAGGCTGTTAAACGAATTTCTTCATCTACATGAACACACATTCGAATAACAAATTCTATCAAATCCTTAAAAATGATAATTTTGAAATTAGTCAGATTCCAAGCGCGTAAAGGAGGAATAGTCAAAGTAAACGACAAAGGTTTAGCGTTGAGCACGTTATAGTCCACTGAAATACGCCACTGAATAGGAAGGGCATAGACAGGGGCTAAAACCCCCTGACCCCCGAAGTAGGGAAAAAAATTTGAGGAAGGCCTTTGTTTAATAGACACATGGCATACTGATTTTTATTGCAAGAGAGAATTGCTAGCAATAAAAATAAAACAATTTCCCTTCTAGTATCTTATATGATTCTAAATTCGGAAATTTTAACCTAGGACGAGTGCACAAAAATGAGTGCACAGGTTTAGGATCAGTGCACAGGAGAAAATGAATTTTTCAACGCATCTATCTATGATTCTCCACAAAAATACCCAAAAAAAATTTTTTTTTATTTTAAAATCAAACCTGATGAGACATTGGATCAGGTAGAAAACGAGGAATTGCAGCAATACAAGTCCGAAAAAGATCCAATTTTGCTCTCATTTCAGAATTAATAACTTCGTTATATTCTTTTCCACGAACATGTGAAGCTGTTAACATAAATGAACGTCCAATTTGGGCATCCAAAGTACGTAAAATTGAGTCAAACGCTTTTCTACAAGCTGGATAGTATTGCTCTAGACCGAGAGAAATTGCTGTTTCAATTGACAATGGCTGAGTCAAATAACTTCTTTTTTGGCGTTGAATTGTTCCAAAAGGTACAAAACCTTTATAAAATTATTTTAAAATTTAAAAGGTGAAAAATAAAAAAAATTTTTATTGCTGGGATAATTTTGACAATTACTACAGATATTGTCAAAAGCTAAAATATGGAGATTCTTTTTCATAAGTCAAATTAATCCCTGGATATGTTCGTATAAAACTGCAGAAAATCGCGATCAGCGTGATTAATAGATCTCAGCCCAAGACTAAAGTGAAAAGGTAAATTTTTTAAATACGCAAATGTTGGGGATTGTAGTGTCGCCAATTAAATGACCTCCTAAACAATTAGTGTCGGTGGACCCTGGGAAATTCACGGATATCAGAATCCAATATCCGAACCGAAAATTTCATGATACCCAGACACTTTTCGGATCAGATATCAGGACTCAATCACTGATAATTACAAATTAAATATGGCCGAATAAACTTTCATGTCCTACATCAGAAATAACAAATCGTCCTCTCAATGAAATTTAAAAAATTAAATTCTTTAACAAAAACCTATAGATCTCGGCATTCCTGGAGGACTTTCATTTTGTTGTAGTCCATCAAAAATAACCATTAAAGCACGTATTCCAATATTCATACGTTCAGGATAAATTGAAAGGGTTCTTGATGAAGCTCTTGAACATCCCAACAAGTCATAAATTATTTCCTAAAAATTTTTAAAAAATTACAAAAAAACCTTAAAAATTCCCCAAACCCTAAACGCAAAATCAATTCTATATTGAGAAATAAAATGAATTATTTTGACAAAAATATTGAGAGGAGCATCTCTTGGAACTACATTTCTTGAACCTCGAGGGAAAAGACTTGCACAAATTCCTTCCAAACGGCTTCGAGTTACGCTATTACTTTCACAGCTTATACGAACTGTGTAAACCCTAAAAAATTAAATTTAATATGGGGAAATTGAAGGGAGTTAAAAAAGATTTACAAAAAAGTACAAAAGCGAGGGAATGGTAGATGTCGGCAATATGCATATCAGGGATCCCGTAACAGAATTTTTCAGATTATGTACGGAGTGGGATCCCGTGGAATTAACACCGTCAATCAAGTAATCCGCTTGTCGCTTAAAAGCAGGATTCCGAGAAAGGGCCCAATAAAATCAAGTATGGGATCTTATCCTTTTCCGATCACTAAAGTATGGTCAATTGGAATGTTGAACCACCAAAATGTCAAACATTGAAATGACAATTCTAAGGTTATTTCCTTTGTTTGGCATTTCAATGCCTTTTGGCATTCAATACGCTCCTAAGAAAATAAAAAGAATATAAAATATTAACCAAATTAAACGATAAAGTGATTCCAACGCCATTCGAGATATTCTTGAATCTTTATTTTTGAGATTTGCTGAAAAAAATTTATAGAATTCATGTTAAAATAACAAATATTTACCTAATGTAAGATTAAGAAATTGAACCCAAGTAGAAAGAAAAAATTTATTTTGACTGATGCATAATAAGCAAGTAAGTAGTGGGTAAGCTGCCTAAAATTAAAAAAAATTCTTTTTTAAAATTAGACTATTCTGAAAGGCGCGGACCATTTTTGAGCTAAATATGAGACAAACAGAACATTAAATTCCAGGATTTAGAGTTTATCAATAAATTCCAAAAATTTGATTTTAAATGCAAAAATGAGTGTTACCGAAAATTTATGTAAAACAACCCCCGAAAAAATTATTTAAAATCCTCCAAAAAATCTAGTTTATAAACCAGTTCCTTTCGATTATCCTCCTAAATAGGGTTGCCAAAATGGTCCGACTCGATAAAAACAAACCCGAAAAAATGCCACGACCGTCGGCCGACTCGAAAACGGCAACCCTACTCCTAAAGTCAGCAACTTTTATCAGATTTCTACTTATTTTGAGAAAAATTACTTTCGGATAAAAAGCCACAAATGTTAGAGAAATACCCAAAAGAAAGATAAATTTAAAAAAATATACCAATTTATGTTGCTTTTTATTAATCAAATCATATGTTGGATTGTAAAGTTTATCAACAAAAGCAATTAAAGCAGGAACGTTTGCCTCAGTTTTTATTTGCTACAAACAAAAATCTAATTATATAATTGAGAAGAGTTTGTCCGTTTGTCTGTCCTTTTATAGACAAGTGGGCTTTTATAGTAAAGTGATTTGGGGGAGTGAGAAAATGGGGGTTTTTATAGTAAAGCGTTGCCTGTTGAAAAAAGTTGTGAGGGTAAGCAGATAGTATAAAAGCAGGGTATTTTGGTCAGTCCTCAACTGATACCAACACATTTTCAACTTTACTGCACTCTGTTCTACGTCAACCTTTGCTGGGGTCCTGTGTCCTCTTGAGTGCTGGGCGTCAACGTTTATTTGTCAAGTGCTAGACGTCAACGTTCATGTGTCAAGTGCTATCTGTCAACGTCACTTGAAGTGCAGGCGTCAACGTTCATTTGTCAAGTGCCAGGCGTCAACATTCATGTGTCAAGTGTTAGACGTCAACGTTCATTTGTCAAGTGCTAGATGTCAACGTCACTTGAAGTGCCAGGCGTCAGCGTTCATTTGTCAAGTGCTAGACGTCAACGTTCACGTGTCAAGTGCTAGACGTTCAACGTCACTTGAAGTGCCAGGCGTCAACGTTCATTTGTCAAGTGCCAGGCGTCAACGTTCATGTGTCAAGTGCTAGACGTTCAACGTTCATGTGTCAAGTGCTAGCTGTCAACGTCACTTGAAGTGCCAGGCGTCAGCGTTCATTTGTCAAGTGCTAGACGTCAACGTTCATGTGTCAAGCGCTAGCTGTCAACGTCACCTGAAGTGCCAGGCGTCAACGTTCATTTGTTAAGGGGTAGGCGTCAACGTTCATTTGTTAAGTGCTAGACGTCAACGTTCATGTGTCATGTGCTAGACGTCAACGTTCATGTGTCAAGTGCTAGACGTCAACGTTCATTTGAAGCGCCAGGCGTCAACGTTCATTTGAAGTGCTAGGCGTCAAATTTCAGTCGAATATTGAAACCGGGAATTGTGAGACAGGCGGAATATTGAAGAAGGGGGAATTGTGAAGCAGGTGGAATATTTAAGCAGGGAAATTGTAACGCAGGTCGAATATTGAAACAGGTGCAATTGTGAAGTAGGCGGTATTGTGAGAGGCAAGGGGAATTGTAAAGCAGACGGAATATTGAAACAAGATGAATTGTAAAGCAGGAGAAATATTGAAACAGGGGAATTGTGAAGCAGGCGGAATATTGAAGCAGGAGAATGAAGGGTGATGTGAAGCGGAGAATTGTAGAGCAGGCGGTATTGTGAGACAATGGGAATTGAGAAGTAGGCGGAATATTGAAACAGAGGGAATTGTGAAGCAGGCGAAATTGTGAGGAGAAAAAATGGGTAAGCGAGATGGGCCGGCCAAAGGCTTTTGAATCGGATCTTGAGTTGAATTGTTTTGTTATGCTAGCGGAGTCACACGAGCGCCTGTGTGTACCCTATCAGGTGCGCCTATTAGATGCTTTGCTTTGTTAAATGTTTTGGTAATAAGGTATTGTTTTAATGCTGGCCAATGTTTTGACTATCGGGTTTTTCTGATTATGATTGGATTAGGGTCAATTTTGAGGTTGTGATTTGGAGTTTGTTTTTTGGTTTGTTTTGTTTTTGCTAGCGGGGTGGGGCGGCCGAAGGCCGACCAACTCCGCTAGTTTCTTAAAAATTATTAACAAAATAATTCAAACCGCAGCCATAGGTATAAGTATTTCAACCAACAATCCAGCCAAAGCATGCTTCAAATCCTTTTGTTTCAAATCAACTTCAAGGTAATACGAACCAATTTCTTCTAAAAAAGCGATACCCTCTTCCAATGATGATATCTCGTTTGTCTGTTTTTAGAAAATAAAAATTAGAACAATAAAATTGGACCAGTAAAATAAGAAAAAAATACTGGTTTGAAGAAAAAAGGTTTCAAAAACAAAAATTCTGAGCTAATAATAAAGTCGGGGAGAACATTTTGGTGAATGTGACATAAAAATCACAATCGGGTGTGGTAAGGGGAAAGGAGGATAAACGGTATTTCTTTTCGTAGTTAAGGTAAGGGGAAATAAGGACGGGGAAAAGTAAAAAGGAACGGGGACCATAAAGAAAAATTACGAGATTTTTTTGAATATTTTGATCAAAAAAATCTGATAAAACATTCAGGTCATGATAAAAATAAAAAATTATAATAAATTAATAAAAATACCTTAATTCTAAAATATTTCATTCCCATTAAAAGACAAATAACACTATGCGTATTAACTGGTATTTCTTTGCGTAATTCGTTTAAATTGTCAATACAATATTTCTGGATTAATTTACAATGGGTTTGTGACAAGACACCAATTACTTCTGCAAAGATTTCAGAAACTAGAAAAAATAAAAAATTTTGATAGCAGAAAATCTGCAAATAAATTTTGTCCGCAAAAAATTTTTTGTCCGCAAATCGAAAAACTTGTCCGCAAAATCGAAATCTTGTCCGCAACAAAAAAATTCAAAACAAACCTATCAAACTATTATTATAATTAATTCCAAAAACGGATTGGTCCTTGTAAGATATTTGATTGAAAGAAGTCCCAACAATAAAATTAATTTGTGATTGACATTCTGCTGGGTGGAAGTGGACTTGGAGTAAAATTTCGATTAGAACAACACAAAATAAATAGCTAGCAACAAGTGTTTTCTTTATGGCACGATCTCTGACCTCTCTAAAAATTAATAAAAAAAGTTAAAGAAGCTCGGAAAGGTTGAGGGTCTTGAGTTTATGAGGGGGAATCAGAGAAAAGTATGGATTGCCAAAAATGTTGGGGTCGAAGAACAGACGAGGTTGAGGTCAGGGCTGAACGCAATTGCAAATTTCGGGGGTTTTTGCAATTGCGGAATCTTTTTTTCAATTGCGTGCAGCCCTGGGTCAGGGTGAATTTTTTACTTTAATGTCAAAAAACTAAAAGATCGACATCATTTTTGAGCAAATCACTTGCAAAAATTGGAATTAGGGTTGCCGTTTTCGAACCGTGCCGACGTTTGAGCCATTCGTTTCGAGCCTCATTGTTATCAAACCGGGCCGTTCGAGTCTTTTTCGGGCTAAAAATCGAAGCCCGATTTGATTTTTCGAACCGAACCGGGCAGGCAACCCTAATTGAAATAAATAAGTTCGACAAAAAATCCCAACAAAAAAACCCAAATACTTAAGAAAACCAAGTAAAAAATAATTTAAAATTTACCCGACTTGGCTGATTGAAACTCTCTGTTGATGCTCATACCATTTAATCAAAACATTTAAAACTGAAGGCAGACAAGTCTCGCATAGTCCAAAAAGTGTTCTTAACAGACTATTGAGATAAGAATCTTCTCCTCTTTTGAATGATTTGTTTATAAGTTTGTCCTAAAAATAAAATTTATAATTTTAAAGAAAGAATCGAAATTGAGTTAGGTAGAAATCAGGAATGGTTTTCTACTGTTTCTGTCCTCTGAATTCCCTTTTCCCCGATTTTTAAATGAGTAATGACTAGAGATCGGCGACCAAGGCCTGAGTTTTTCCTGTACCCAGAGTCCATACCTAGGCATTTTCGATCTTTCTGGGGATTTCCTGGTCTACAGGCCCAGGATCCGGCCCAGGTCAATAAATCAAACCCAGAACACAGGAACAGGCTTTTCGAAAATACCAATCTCGAGTAATGACCATTCTATTATGGGACAAGCCTAACTTTCCTAGTTTTTCAAACCCCTCCTTTTTAACAATCAAGTCGAGTTAAGCTGGTTTTCTCTTGCGGACGATTTTTACGGACTTTATTCTTAGTTTAAAAAAGTCCGCAAATGTGATACTTTATTAAATTTCCGCAAAAACTTTTACAAGAAATAACCGAAAAAATCAGCCCTCTTATAAAAATACCACAAAAAATTTAAAAAAATACCAGAGGTTCTTCATCAGCAATTTGAGTTAAACGCTTCTCAAAATAAATAAACATTTCTTCCATAACATATTGGACTGTATAACGTGCAGGAAGTATTTCCAAGTCAGCCGAATTTGAAAAATGTTTTTTGAACCAGGGAAGTTTAATAAATGATTTTAAGTCGTTCTCCATAATTTTTAAAAATTCTGAAAAATAAATAAAATTTTTTAAAAATTTAGACAAATTTTTGACATAATGGAAGTTTAAGGGAAGTCTAACGGGAATTATGGTTTGTATTAGAGACCGGCAAAATAATCGCACTTCCGGGATCCCGAGTCGGGATCTTTTTTCTTAACCGATGTCGGGACGGGATCCCGAGGGATAAATCCCGAAAGAATCCCAGATCCCGAAAATCAAAAAAATCCGGGATCCCGGAAAATCCCGTCAGGATCCCGTCCCGCGCCGGCCTCTAATTTGTATTAGTCAGTCAAAAACCAAAAAAGTCCTAAAACAAAATCAGCTGAATTGAGAAAATTAATGATTTTTAAATTAGAGATTTCGACAAAATATTTTTTGGTGACACTTTGAAAGTTTAACATTTCAAGGTAAAGGACGTTTCAGAGTAGAAATTTCAGAGTATACATGCTTATTGTTAGCATTTGTGCCAAGTCTTAAGTCTTAAACTGACAGCCGGGACTAAGAAACGGGATATCATTTTAATCATCTAAAAATTAAAAAAAATTTTTTTAATCAACACTGTACATGGCCAACCAACTGTTAAATTGGATAACTAACTCACATAAATTAACTTATAAAAGCAGTATAAAAGGATAAAGTTTTTAAAACAACTCTTTATATGATTTCACAACGATGAATCTTTTACCTGCCGAAACAAAACTTGACATCTTCAAATGCCTCAATTTCAACCAATTGAACAACTTTCAACTGTCAAATCGTCATTTTTGCGAATTGATTGCCAAATACAACAAGGAATTGGCTATAAAAGTGTTCTATTCTGTTGAGTTGGTTGTTTGGAAAAATTGTAGGGGTTTTTTGATTAGTCTTATTAAAAGTTTTTGTTTTACAGATGTCTGCAAGGATTTGGAGTATAGTCGTAAAGAATTGGATTTGAATTTGAGCGAGGAAAATAAATTAAAGGTACATAATTGGAGTGAGGGGCAACTCAAGGAACAGACAAATCAAGGAACGACAACGCACGGAACAGACAAGCCAAGAAAAAGTCAAAAAGTCACCTTGACGACAAGTCAAGGAACAGACAGGTCAAGGAATTAAGAAAAATTCTGATTTCTAAAAAATTCATGATTTGATCGTTTCACGAGTTGGTTGTTCCTTGACATGTCTTTTCCTTGACCTGTCTTTTCCTTGAATTGTCTGTTCATTGACCCGTCTTTTCCTTTACCTGTCTTTTCCTTGACTTGTCCGTTCCATGACTTATCGTTTCTTGTCTTGTCCGTTCCTTGAGTTAGCCCGACACGTATAATTGTTTCCTTTGGCTATAAACTCTTATTATTTTTTAGTGGAAAGCAGCAATTCAGGAACGGATTCCTTTCTACTTTTATCACAATAACAACTCTCTTCACAAAAATTTTGATGTAGCAATTGATGATTATAAACTTAATGAAATTGCAAATTTGTTTATTGTATCAAAAGGAGAAGGTGAATAATTTTGTTTGTTAGTGGCAGAGGTGGTCGGAACAGTCGGGGGTGTCGGAAATCGGAAGAGCCGGAAATCGGAACTGGCTCAAAGTCAGAAAACGGAATTCCAACCCACCTCTGGTTAGTGGTTGATTTTAGAAGCTTTTTTGTTAGAAATGAGCACGCGGACATATCGGGACGGGCATAGCGGGATGTTTCAATGTACGAACATTTAGCCTACTGATTTCGGGACCTACGGCCACTGGGTCTTGAATAGTATACTGTCCTATTGAGGAGTATAGTTTTTATGTTTTAGAACAAACGTAAACACGCAAGAAATTATTTTTGTCACCCTAATCCCGATATGTCCTTCCCGGTATGTCCGCACACATAGAAATAAGCTTATATTTTTTACCCTTTTTTAATTTTAGAAGGAACTTCGCCTAAATTTCTTCAATTGCAATTAAAACAATATCCTGAAACGATCGAAGAAATGCTTATTTTTCGTTACTGGCTCAAGAAGCTTTCCTCTTGCTTTATTGAAAACCTCAAATTTGAACAAGGCTTTATCAATCCGGACATTCTTGAATTATTTTTCGGGGATTCTCCGCTGAAATTTTACACAAAATATTTTTATCTATACAATAAAGAAGGCTATTGTTTTCCTAAAGGACTTGAATTTATGTACCGTCACGTTGTTATTCGAGGACGTAAAGGCTTATACTATGAAGATTCTGACCGGAAAATGTTTGGCGAAATGGTAAAAGATGAAGAACGCTATTTCCAAAAATTTTCGTTAGAGGAGGAGGAAGGGAAAGAATTTTGTAAGGTTGTGGAGTATGAATTGTTTGAAGTAGATAATCCAATGGAAGATGCAATGTTGTATTTATGTTTCCGTATTGGATCTAAGAAAGCATTTTATTACGAAACTGTGGGAACTTTTGTCTGATTTGTAAAAAATATAATTTTGTTGTGTTAATTATAATTAGGGTTGCCGTTTTCGGTTCGAGCCGACGTTTTCGGCGCATTTTTTTCGAGCTTGGTTTTTTTCGATTCGGTTCGTTTTCGGGCTTTTCGAGCTGAAAAGCCTCTTTCGAGTTTCGGTTCGAGCGCGCTGGCAACCCTAATTATAATGTTTGATATTGTTTATTTATCTGTTGTTATTTCGCTATAAATATGTATGTATGTATAAGTAATGTAGTGTATTTTTGAATACTGATTTGGGTACTTTTCCGTTATCCCTACAAACTTTTGCGGATTTTTTTTGCGGACGAATTCATGCACATAATAGTACAGTAGTCTAATTTGTCTAACCCTAATTTTCTGTAATTTCCTAATTTTCCCTAATTTGCCCTGCTAACCCTAATACAAATTTGTCTAATTTGTATTCTTTAATCTTTATTTTAATTACCCCAGAGATTCGTTTCTTAAATTGTAGCCTCAATCTACTACAATTTTATACTTTTTAAATTTTCCCCCGATTTGATTATTTTTGAATTTTTGGCGATAGGTGACGAATTTGTGTGCAGTTTTGTTGTTGTTATGTTGTGTAAAAATTTAATAATTAATCAAATTGGTAGCTTTTAAATTTTAACAAAAAGTGTAACTTTGGAGAGAGAAATTGAGGAAATTTTGGAATTTTTGTGTCAAGTTTAAATGTGTGTTTGTGACAATAAATCATTGAACGATATTATATCAAAACGACCCTTTATATATTTTTAAAAGTGGACAACTGACCCTGTAAATGGTTAATAAAATATGTAAGGGAAGAAAGAGGGTTTATTTTTAAAAATTCTTTTAACGTTGGCCAATTGTGTCTATTTTAATAATTAGTTTTTCTCGATTAATTCCCCTCCAAATAATTCTTCATACCAGGGATATGAGTATGTATAATACCCTGCTAATAATTCCCTGCACACTAATACCCTATTTCGGATACAGCCCAAGTAGGCGCGCGGCCATAACGGCGCTAGCTTTAACGTGCTTCAAGATCTCTTAATCTTAACAAATTTAGTAATAAACGATTCTACTCAACGAGCTAAATTGATTGGTACCAAAATTGATAAGGTCCAGAAATTTCCCAGCAGGTTATGGCTTTGCGGCGTTGTGGCCGCGCGCCTACTTGGGCATGTTCCACCTATTTCATGTTCAAAGTGTAATTTAAGAAAGCGGGCGTTGTAGCTCAGTGGTAGTCGTCTTAACTATAAAAGATCCTTCGTATTTAGATGTGAAAGTGCGCTAATTTTTTACCACCATTTTAAATTTTCCACCAGTTTAAACAACAAATCATACGATTTTATTTATTTTAAGCTCCCTCTAATAATTCCCCATCCACAAATATTAATTCTCCAGAGGATTTATCGAGAAAATATGTTAACCTTTTTTCGGCATATTTCGATAAAATTGTTTTGTCCTTAAGTTTAGGTTACTTTAAGCTTATTTTCCTGAATGGAAAAAGTGTGTTTATATATTCCGGAACGCTTTTTATGGTATTTTTCTCTGTTCCAATTAAAACCTGAATATCTCGTTTGGGCCCTCCGCTTCTGCAAAATTTAGCTTTTTGACCCTTCCGCTACCCCATTTATTTTATTTCGCTTTCTTCAGCCTTTCGTCTTTTTCCTTTTTTATGCAAGAAAACTTTTTGGCATTCTTGCGGACAACTGCTCTCATGCCTTTTATTGTCCTTCAAAACAATAGAGGGAAGGGGGGAGGGGAAGGGTGTATTTATTTATATAAATTCCACATCTTCCAATCATTTCCTATTATTTTTTTTATTATTTGTCTATCATTCCATCAAGCTAATATTTAAAATCAATTGTTTTAGTGTCCCAATTTCTGCCAAATTTTGTGTATTTATTGTCCACACCAAACTTCCATTATTATTTTATGCTGCTTGCAGCCGTTGCCTTTTGCTCTCCATATTCCGCCAATACCACATTTTGCCAATCAGGCTAAAAATTCTCATTTTGTCAACAAGGCCTTATTGGCAAAATGAGGGGTTTTACCCTTATTGGCAAAGTGTGTATTGGCGAAATATGGGGAGATCGCCGTTGCTTTAGCTCTAGTAGTAATTCTCTCTCTTATTGTTTTGTTGCTTTTCCTCATTCACCATATTTTTTCTTGAGGGTGATTCAGAGAGAAATGAGTATTTTAGTTATAGCCTAAAGGCAGGTGTGAGAGGGGAAGACTGATTTTATAGGTATATAAAATAGTGAAGGAATGTGCCAGGCAGATATTTTGGAAAGGAAGGGAAGGGAAAAAATTGGGGAAGATTTTTGTCGATTTTTGGGAGGAGGATGGGGGGAAAATATAAAAATAAGTTTAGTGTGTACTTTTTCATATCTCAGAAAACATTAAAAAACAAAGGACAGAAAAAAAAAATTTTTTTTGATTGTCCATTCGAGATTAGTATAACCGAGAGAGAGAACGGAGAGACACATTTAATAATAATTTCTTTTAATGAGCAAAAATCTCGATCGCCCATTTTTGATTTTTTAAAACTTTTCTTTATTTTTACCTTTATTAATTACTTTGTATTTTTAAAAATTTTTCTATGTTACTTATCCCTATAGGCTTTTTTATTCATTTTTTGTTTTCTTTGACCATTTCGAGCCCTATATTCTTTGATCATTTAAAGCCCTATATTTCAGCGCAAATTGCGAGTTTCTCATAATTTTGATTCATCCGATTCAGCTCGCCGAGCTCTTTCGAATAGTATATACCGTATTTAGGTAAATGTCCAGTTGGCGGTCTACATGTCTCCAATAGAACGACCCTTTTTTAGGGGTAATGAAAAATAGAATGGCGGCCATTCTATTAGAATAAATACTGTATTTTGTCCATATTTCTGAGTGTTTCCTTTAGGAATAACGGAGAATTTCTATTTTTAAGACCTCAACTATCTAAATATTATTCTACAAAAATTCCATCAAATAAATGTGGCAACGTTTTCGCCAATATTTGCCTTTCAGTATTGTAGTTGGTCAAAAGGCAGAAGATAAAAATAAAAAAATTGAAAATGAAGAAGAGGAGGATGATGAAAGAAGGGAAGAAACAAGTTTTGATGCAACCCCAGGGTTATTGAGTGATGAAGATGAAGAAAGCGGTGCTGCAAATTTTTCTTCAACACGTTCATCTTTTAGAAGAAATGAGCCTAAAACTCATCATAGAACGGCTTCTAATGTTTCAGGTGTTTTTTACAGGAAAATTTTTTCGCGAAGTTTCGCGAAATTTCGATAAACTTTACGAAATTTCGAAGAAGGAACCATTTCTCGAAATTTCACGAAACTATTCGAAATTTCGAAGAAGGAGCCATTTCTCGAAATTTTGCAAAACTTCACGAAATTTTGAAGAAGGAATACATTTCGAGAAATTTGCGAAATTTCGCAAAACTTTACGAAATTTCGCGAAAATTTTTTTTTTCACAAAAATTTTTTTCTCATTCAGGTCAACAACCACCAAAAGGGAAATTTTTCAAAAGGTCAGAAACAGCCCCCAGATCTAGTACAAGTGGGGGTGGCGGGAGTTTTGGGAGTGTTGGTGTTTCAAAAGCAGCAAAAAAGCAACAACAAAAAAGACCATTCTCAGCAACACCACGTTCAGAGGGAGGGGATGCACCTTCAGCAGCAGAAAATTTAACTTCTAGGCTTTCTAGAAGATCGTCAATTATTGTAGGATTTTTTTTCAAATTTTAAAAATTTGCGGACGTCCGCAAAAAATTTGCGGACAGTCCGCAAAAAATTTTTTTAATTTACAGTCCGATTTGGTTGCCCTAATGGTTCGCAGATCGAGTAGCATGGGACATAGAGGTTCTGGACAACAAAAGGGAGGAGGAGGTGGTGGAGGGGGGAGTAGTAGTGGTGGTGGTGGAGATCAACGTGAAGAACTTTCTTCGCAAGACCAAAAGGAAAGAAGCGTTGATTCGAGGGAAGAAGAGAGACGGTTAAGACGTAATGATTACAATGGGGAAGATGAAGAAGAGGAAGATATTGGAAATATGCCTAGAGAGAAAATACTTCAAAGAATAAGGCACCACAAAGAAATTATTGGAAAAGTAAGGCTCCAACCTTGGCCTATGAGAAGGAAAAGGAGAGCATTAAAAGTAGCTAGACAATATTTACAAAAACAAGAAGCTCAAGTTAGTAAATGGCATCTGTATAAAGTTGAAGCAAGTAGACGAGGGAATCAGGTAGAGATATTTTTGAGAAGAAAAATTTGGCTTTTGTCCAGATTACGCGTCCATGAAAAACTTGCGGACAGTCCGCAAAATTTAATCTGCAAGGCTTCAACCATGGCCTATGAATGCGTCCAATCATTCAACCATGCGTCCAATCACATTTTTTAAGTATCCGGGGTTCCTCGTTTTAGTACCATAAAATCTAAGGGAATAGATAGATCTTCTCACTCAACGTTATGTTACATTCGCACGATACCGGACTATTGGTCTAAGATGGGGTAGCACCCCGTCCCCCGACGAATTTTTAGGCAAAAACCCCGACCCGAACCCCGAAGACTACTCAGACAAACCCCGATCTCCGACAATCCCGCCTCCGAAGGCTCGGGGTGCTACCCTATTCTAAAATGAAGATCGAGTCGGGTATAGAATTTTGTCCCAACTTTTCATTGGACGCCTAATTTAGACAAGAGCCAAAAATTATTTTACAAAAATATTTCAAAAAATTTTCAAAAAAATTTTTTTTCTTCTCTAAGGCTTGGCGTTGGGCAAAAAACCTCAGTATTTACTTAATTCCTTGGGAATCAAAAATTAAACAAATTGAATCCAATTTTGGTTCTGTCGTTTCTTCCTTTTTTATTTTTCTTCGTTGGGTACTCGGAATGAATGTGGCAAATTCTTTATTGGTTATGGCATTTGTTGTTGTGCCCGAATGGTTGGCGGACTCGAAAAATGATATTGGACGTTTTAATCGGACTAGGCATATAAAAGCAATGCCAACTAAAGTTGCTGTACATGCTGATGAATTAAATACTGTCCTGGATTTTGGGGTAGATTTAAACTCTTAAAATTTTTATTCAAGAATCATGTGTCGTTTGGACAAATATCCCTGGCAGGGATATCATGAGTTACCCGAAACCTGATTCGAGAAATTTTCTAAAACCTGGCACGACTTTTTTCCCTCTTAATGCCTTTAATGATCCGAACCAAGATCTTTTTGACCCCGAAACCCGATCAGAAAAAAATTTAAAGACTCAATCCAAAACATGAATTGACATTATTCTCAACCGTAATTTAGTTGGTCATTGAATTAAAAAAAAGAAAAATTTTCAAAATTTTTTAAATGATTAGGGTATTGGATAAGAAGAAGAAAAAAAACTCCGCAAGAAAAAACTCCGCATTTAGACAATACCCCTAGCCATCATTATAAAATGCAATTTTATTCATCCTCAAAGGGATATTTTACACTAGAAATTGAGTTTGGATCCAGAGTCAAGGTCAAAGCATTTTTTAGTATTCCTTAATTTTTTCTTGAAAAAAAAATGTCTAAGAATATGGTCGTCCTCACTCAAAATAAAGGTCAAGGGTCAAAGTTTTTTTTTAAATCTCGATCTCTATTTATACATAACAAGTAGTGTTGGGGGTCCTGTCCGAAAGATAGAGTCGGGCATCGAATTTTGACCCGAAAAAGACTCGGTCGGGTCGGCCCGAAAAAGCGAGGCCCGAAAAAATGACTTGAACGTCGGCCCGATTCGAGAACCCCAACTCTCACAATTAGGGTTGACTACAGCACGCTTCCTACATTGTAAAAAATTTTCTTTCATTTTTAAGGGTTACCTTCAATATTCCTATCTCTTCTACGGCTATTACAGTCACGAAACAGTCCTAAAAGGTTTCATCATTGGTTATCACGTTCCTGTAGCTTATGTCTTCTTAAATTTATTTTTGCTTGTATTTTGTATTTTTATTATTTTGAAGGTTTGTAAAGGGAAAAAAAATTTTTTTGAAAAAATTTTATTCTTCAGAAAATGACTTCAAATACCCGAAAAAGTAAATTAAGTAGTGGAAAGCAAGAACAATATGTTTTTACTTGGAAAGCAATAAATGGGTGGGATTACAATATTGGAGAACCCGAAACTGCGGCTTCGTTGGCTATGGCTAATGCTATTAAATTGAAGGTAGGTTTAAAAAAATAAGTATATCACGTAAAAAATCCCCACATGTCCGTCCACAAATGTTTGTCTTCTCATAAAAAAATGGTCAAAATTAGAGATCGGAATTTTGTTCCGTTCCGTATTCCGTGCCCTTATAATACCTGTAAAATTCAAAATTTTATCGGTCGGTATTCCGTACCTACTATCGATACGGAATACAGATAAATACCGAAAAATACGGCCGTAGTACGGTACGGTCCGATCTCTAGTCAAAATATTAATGGCAAAATTTAAATAAGGCAGTCGTTTTGAGAAAAGTGTCATTTTTTAATTTGTTCTAGGGTTAGTCTTAAAGCTAAACAGGAAGCCAGTTTCCTCTAGGCGTTTAGGGGATATCGTTGTGTTGGAGGAACTAAGAGGGATATCGGGGGATTTACAGGGATTAGGACATCTCTGATTTGAATGTCCCACAGGGAAAAGAGTACTTTACCTTCATATTAGTCTTTTAACCAGAGAGAAGGGAGGAGAAGTTAAGACTAAAATTGCGGACAAACATTTGCGGATATATTGGGGGTATAGTACACAAAAAAATATTTTCTTTTAAAAAAAGGAAGCCTCTACGGAATACAAGAAAAAGTTTAAACAAAAATTAACTTTCCAAAAAGTTTTTGTTCGTGTTGTTGTTAATTTAATAATTACATCAATGATGCTACTCTCGATGTTGGCTATTTATAAAGTTTCTCAGACTACAGAAAAAGATACTTTTCTTAAACAGGTGTGGGTGGTTTTAACAAGATTTTAAACATGCCTTTTCCGTTATATACCCACAAATTTTTTCCAATTGCTTCAGAATCGGTGAAAAAAATTTTTATTGTCTTTCGAAAGAGGTATCATTTGTAGGACCGAATTTCTGATCTCAAAAAATGACTGATCCACCACTCTATTGGTTTTCAAATTTCGGGCTATATCTCGACTTCTCCATTATATTGCGCTAAAGAGACCTTTGGACATCGACAGATGAGATGAATCGGAAGGAAAAATTGAAATTTGGAACTGGCCACTGGCTAAAGACAGCCTCGAAAAATGACTGATACACCCTATGATTTTTCAAATTTCGTGGACCGGGTACGGTCGCGCGGCCGTGTAGACGCAAATCCATAACTTGCTTCAAGATTCCCAAATCTTTCAAAATATGGTATTAAACGATTCATCTCATCGAGCTAAAGAGGTGTGTGTTTTTAAACAGGCTTTTGAACAAGCTTGTTAGGGTCCAGAAATTTTCCAGCTAGTTAAGGCTTTCCGCCTGCTTGGCCGTGTGCATCTTGGGCGTGTCCCTATTGGGCAATTATCTCGATTTTCCCACCATATATAATAGTTTCTTTCGACTCGGACAGACGAGACGGTCGAAAAATAGGTATATAAATCGAAATTGGGGTCATATAACGGAAAAGTATAACAGAAAAATACCAAAAAAATTTTTAATTTAGAATGCCGTTTCAATTACTGTTGGCGTTATAACTTTCCTTTTCCCACCAATCTTTGAATTAATGTTAATTTTATTTTTTAATTAATTTAAAAAATTAAAATTTAGCCTCAAACTGGAGCTTTATAGACCTAGAACAGCTCTGCGTGTTCATCTTTTTAGGTTTTTAAAAAAAAATTTTTTGATAGAATTGTTGTTTGTGTGACCCTTTTTCCATCCCTCCCAAAATTCACCTCGTTTTGCCGCTGGAACAAAATTAACTAAAAAGAGTCTATGGCGATATTTACCTAGACTGATTTTTAGAATTTTTTGTTTGGTATTATAGCCTAACTTTGAATGAGTAGAGCTTTCTGTTTGTATAAAAATTACATGGGAATGAGTGAACCTTAATGGTAGCCACAAGGGATGGAACTATTTAAACAAAACCCGGACTTCTTTCCGACCCGAAAACTGGTCTGAAATATTTTCATGAACCCGACCCGCCCTTTTTTCTCAGCCCGTCCCATCCCTGATACACACAATGGGTATGCCTTTTCGTCTTTCGCCGAATTTTCGGCTTTTTTGATTCGCCAAATTTTGTCAGCGGCAAAAAAAGAGAGAGAGAGAGAGGGGGTTTCGGGAAGATGAAAGAAAAGTGTCATATAAACGATACCTTGATCAAAAAGATTTTAAATTTTATTCAATTTTAGAGTGCTTTTCTTTTATTTGCTCAACTATTACACTCTTGTATATTCGGTAAAAAATTATTAAAAAATTTAAAAATAAATTTAAATATTAAAGCTCTTTATAATGTTAAACACTATGGAGGTTGTTCTGAATTTTTGTGAAATTTTAACGAAAAAATCTTTTTTAGGAAGAAATGCGTGCAAACGAAAAATATGAAAGAGAACAACAAAAATTGGATGCAATGACTTTAAATTCTTTAGCAGCAAGTCAATATCAGTTTCATATAGCTAGGTCCCCAACGGATAATGATTGGGATAACCAAAGCTATTATGAGGTGTTTTTTGCCTAATTTTGGGATTTTTAGAGTCCAACCACAGGCCGTAAAATAAGAACTCGGTTGCTTTTTAGGTGGTTTAAAACCACCAACCGGTGGTTTTAAGACTGTCGTAAGGTCAACTATAACCTTGTGGTCGATGGTTAGGTGACCATGGTCAAGTAACCATCGTTAGGTGACCGAGTTCTTATTTTACGGCCCCAGAGGGTCAACTCCCTACTGACCAAATAACCTAAAAGATCAACAGGCCCTTCAGGTCAACCCTCTAAATATTTGGGCGGATAAAGTTAACTGAAGATGAAGTTTGCCTATTCCCTTCTGACTTACCTGATAGTTGTACGAGTTGAAATTCCATCATATTTCCCTTAATCACAACAAATCCGTCTTAATCTGCCCAAATCCATCGAAATCCCCCTTTAAAAGTCATCAAAAAGTTCCCTCTAATGTGCTAAAATTTTTTCAGGTTGTTTCTTCCCCTTACATTAATTCGAGGGAAATTGTCTCACAATTTAATTCTCCTCCTCAACAACACCAAAAGCCACCATTCCTTTTATTTGCTAGCGTTTCTGCTACACAAAGTGGGGAACGTCGGCGTGACAAGCGTTTCTTTCCGTTATTATTTAAAAGGTAAATTAAATAAATAATTACTGTCCTTACATTCTCTCCTTGAGCAATTCCAACGACAAAAAGGATGTAGCCAAATGTCTATCCTTAGTTCGGTTTTTGAATTAGACCTGGTCCTATAAGAGGTTTTAAGAAGGAAAAAGCCGGTTAAATTAGAAGATAAGCGAAACTTCTCAAAACCTCTTATAGTTTTTACATGATAAACATAGTAAAGCAGCTGGGCTATAACTATTTCTCTCCTTCAGCTAGTGCAGGAGGTTATTCGGCGGCTGGGCCCCGGCATCTTCAGTAGACCGGACTGATGTGTTATCCATTACACCACACCGCTTATTGCACAGCCTTAGGAATCAAATAACTGGGTTACAACATCTATTCGGTCCGTATAAAGGATATCATTTGGGGAAGGAGGACCCTTTTTTGTCAGTGGGATTACTTGGGGAACAATATAGGGACAGTAACTAGTTAAATAATATTTTTTCCCAATCATTTTTTATAGCAAAGTTCGTACAAGTCATCCAAAACGAAAAAAGCGACCGCCGACAAAATCTAAAAATCCAACTAACGATGGTGGTGGCCCAAAAGAAAGAGATTTGAGTGTTCTGTATGGTTCAAATCCTTTCCCTGGACACGAATTGGCTTCTACAACACCAACCCCACAGCCAAGTTCGGATCCGTGGACAACTGTTCAACCTCATTTTGGACCTTTATTTGTTTGTAGTTTTATTTTAGAGAAGTGGAAGTATGCTGGGACTGATCTGTCAAATAAACCTAGCCACCTTTTACCATTAGTTTCTCCAAGAGCTGTAGGGTTAGTCAGACCCTAGCTAATATCATTCTACCAAGGTCACCGGTGTGCTCTTCCTTTGGGGCACATAAAAACTGGGCAACTTGAAACTGATTTAATGGAAAAACAATTGGGTGTGTCACAGCGATAAATAACAAAACTGTTAAATAATTGGCAAAATCCATTAACACATAATGATCCCCCAAAAAATTACGCTGCTTAGGCTAGTAACGGATATGCCTTACATCCTAACGTGGCATTCTTCTATTCTTTATACTATTTATAGGTCGGTGTCTCCAACCCTAAAGCACTTGTTTTGCCTGGTGGTCGAGCTCAACAACAAACAGCAGAATTGGGAACTTTTTGGGAAAGTAGAAAAATTGGTCCAGGCGAAGGGAATTGGCCTACCCCTTCTCCACACCCCCTCAACTACACAAGTTCTCCAAAAATTCAAACACCAATAACCGCCCCTTACCGTGCTAAAAAATATGATGATTTGTGTTGGGAAACGTTATTGGGGCAGGAAGTGGCAAAAATTGTTACAACGGTTAGATTTTGATAAAGTAAAGCTTGTGTTGGGTCACGGTGGGGTTAATGTTGTTGGAGAGGTTGCGTGTGATGATAAGGGTCCCAAGAAGCGCCGTTTCGTCTTTTACCGAATTTTTGACTTTTTTGGTGTTTCGTCTTTCGCCTTTAGTCCTTCGCTTTTTAAAATCTGCTAGGCACATCCCTATCGGAAAGTATAAGTGCGGAACGAAGGGTGGGCCTTTCTATGCTAGCATTATGCTGGTCGGTAACGAGCCCGTGGATGAATAAGCGCTCATGAGGAAATTATTAAGCCTTCAGCTTCTTCGACCGATTTCTACTTTCATCGAATGCAATATTTTTCCTAGTCCCTAAACGCTTTTCCACTATTTTACCCTAAGGCTTTATTTGCACATTTTCCTCCTCTTCTATCCTTCCCTAGCAGGAGCCGCCTTACAATAATTTTAAAAATATATTTGAAAAATTGGTAATCTTCTGCTTCATTGGTCCCTAGAAAAAACGAGGAAAAAGTGCTAGTTAGACATTTTTGAGGCATGCCAGTAGGTAATCGAGTGTGCTGAGTCCGAATATGGGCTTAGAATTTGTTTATTTCGAACCCTGGACCCGAATTCGACCAAGTCGAATATGGGGTAAAAATTCGAAATTTCAAATTTTATGTCTAATCGGACTAGTCTCTTCGAGCTGAGTCAATTGGTATCAAAATTATTGTGTTTCGACATCTTTAGACTAAGTTATGGTGTTTGATTTATACACGGAAGTCTAACCAAGCGTGTATTTAATTGATCATAACTCAGTCTAAAGTTGTCGAAACACAATAATTTTGATATCATTCGACTCAGCTTGAAGAGACGCGTCAGAATAGCGATAGCCTAATATTTTGAATTCTTACACCGAATTCGACTTGGTCGAATTCGGGTTCGGGGTTCGAAATAAACAAATTCTAAGCCCATATTCGGACTCAGCACACTCGATTACCTACTGGCATGCCTCAAAAATGTCTAACTAGCACTTTTTCCTCGTTTTTCTAGGGACCAATGAAGCAGAAGATTACCGAAAAATTTAAGGATTTGGTGATGACTGTAGCGGCTATTTTGGTAATCGATTTTTTACGAGGTCTTTGGATTCGATATTGTTCTGATTGGTGGTGTTGGGATATTGAGGCAACTTTTCCAGAATATGGGGAATTTAAAGTGGCTGAAAATGTGGTAAGAGATTTATATGATGTGTACGTATAGGGTTGTTGGTTCTTGGAAAATCTTCGGATGATCGGAACCGGACCGAAAATCCTCAGCTCTTCGGTTTGGTTTCTGAACCATGGGTGACCGAAATTTCGTTTCGCTTTTATGTGTTATTCCAATCCTCAGCAGATGAGGGTACAAATCTTATCACTATCTGCAGGTTATCAGCAGCAGACCAGTATAAGCATTTTCCAGTTTCTTTCGATTTTCTGGAGGGATAAAGAACTTGGTAAACCTCTAACCCATTTTTATAATACCGCCCGTAAATTGTAAAATGTTTAAATATTTTTCTAGCTCCACTTGGTCAATTCCCAAGCAATGGTTTGTCTAGGCACTATACTCGTTCCTATGCTTCCATTAATTAATTGTGTAAAACTTGTGGCTGTAATGTACATTCGTGCTTGGGCTTGTATGGTTTGTAATGTTCCTGCCAAACAAATATTTCGAGCATCTAGGTGCTTTTTTAAAGTTGAATTTTTTGAATATGTTTGGTTAAGTGCAAGTATGCAGGGACAATTCTGTAAACTAAACCTAGGCATATATTACCTTTATATGTATTCCCTGAGGATAGATAGCTATAGACGTTGGCTAGCCCCTGGCTAATACTTTTTACCAAACCACACCGGTGTGCTTCTCTTGTGGGGAAAAGACTGATTGTAAGGTAGATTCACATAGAGCATTTAAAACGCTTGGGCGGGGGTTAAACGATCTAAAGGGATAAAAGAGAGATAAAGAGACTTTCTCTCGGCTTTGGATATTTGGAAGTTTAAAATTAGCTCGTAAATTTGCTCGTATGGTGCAACATATGCGAGTGTGAAGACATTTTCAAGCCTTGGAAGGAAGTTTTTAAAAAAATTTCTTCCAAGCCTTCCAAACATCGGAACTTCCAAACCTCCGAGATCCCCATGATCCATATATGACGATTAATTCTATTCGAGATCTTTATCACCATAGGACTTTGGTATAATTATATATTGAAGACCTTTTAATGAAGTCCTATGATGTGTTTTGATATGATGGAGTGTTTTATTGTAATTAATTTAGTCAAGTCTATAGGGATAAAGCTCCCGAATAGAATTAATTGTCATATATGAATCTCGGGGAACTCGACTTCGGATATTTGGAAATTTAAAATTTGCTCGTGTTGTACAAGCTTTTTTTCATCGTACTCATACCTTTCTAATTTTTTCTCATATTCGAGTGTTAAAACGAATTTTGGTACGTGCTTCCAAGCATTGGTTTTCAATTTTTTTAATCTTCCAATCCATATTTCCAAGTACTGTCCGAGATCCCCGCGATCCATATATGACCATTATTTCTATCCGAGACCCTTATCACCATAGAACTTCGATATAATTATATATTGAAGTCCTTTTAATATTACATTTGGCCGGCATTCCTTTAAAAAATTCCGTAATAGTTTTTAGTGTTCGAGGCCTAGGCCCACTTTTATTTTTGGCTTCCTCGTAAACTTGCTCGTGTGGTGTAACATATACGAGTGCGAGGAAATGAAGAAGCCTTAGAAGGAAGTTTTTTTAAATTTTTTCTTTCAAGCCTGGAAGGCTTTCCAACCTTGGAGCTTCCAAAAACTTTGGAAAAACCTTGGAACTTTCAAGTACTGTCCGAGATCCCCATGCTCCATATATGACGATTAATTCTATTCGAGATCTTTATTACCATAAGACTTTGGTATAATTATACTGGGAAATCCAATATGACTAGGGCATCCATTAACACTTAATGCTCACCCAGAAGATTATGACTGTTTAACGTTTATGTCTTACAATTTTAGGTCAAGCAATTTTTATTTTTGGCTTTTACTTGCCTTTGTTTGTATGAGTACTTTACCTGTTGGATATGTTATTGCATATAAAAGACCTTCCAAAAATTGTGGTCCATTTTCTGGACAAGAACGGTTTTATTCAATTATTGGGCAAGTATTGAGACAACATTTGCCTAAAAGTTTGGTTGAAGTTATCTCTTATTTTATGTCACCAGGAATTATTTTTCCTGTAAGTATTATATAGATAATAATTTTTGGATATAGTTTAGTATACCGGAGTCTTAGTCTCGTACAAAACCCATACCATTCGATTCGTCTCGACGATCTGGGTAGATGGTACCACTCTATACTTCCGGGGATGACTGTGGGCCGAGATATAGATCCCCGGAAATCAAAAAACCATAGGGGGGAGTAAGCACAATTTTGGGGTCGAAACTAGGGTAGGACGAGACCGTTTAATGACCTCGTTTATTGTTCCCTGTGGCGGGTCAAAAAGAGAAGGGAAAAGTCAGCCACAGGGAAAAATAAATCTCGAATTAAACGGTCTCGTCCTACCCTAGTCGAAACTAAAACTCCGGTATACTAAACTACAGCCTAATTTTTATTCATTTTTAAAAAATTTTTCAAAAAACGAAAGAAAATTATTTTGGCAATAAAAAAGCTATTTGATCTGTTAACATAAGTCTCTTCATTTCTCTTCATTTCTTACTCATTGCGGATTGACAAATGACTAACCACTGGCTTTTTAAAAAAATCTTTTTCTTGACCAAAACCTGTTGACAGCTTTTCTAAATAAGCGTTTCGAATTATAAGCTGTCAATATAATGTGGCGGCTTTTTACTTTGAGAAAATTTTTTCAAGGTTCACAAAAAATTTTCTTTGGCCGTCTTTTGTGTATTTTTGTAGCCCTATTTATTGCCTGCCTATTAAATTGTCTAGGGAAAACTTTTTAGTTTACTAAGAAATTTATTAGAGTAGCAATTTAGGTAATAAAAATCAAAAATTCCGGAGATCTTCCCCACCATTTGATGAAAAATGTCAAGAAAATCTTTTTAACTACACCTCTTTCTCGAGATCTCAAGATCCAAAATTAACGGCAAATGAATATTTTTTAAAGGTTTAAGAGCAGCAGTATTATAAAATTCTCTCTCATAAAAAATTTGAATTTTTTTATTCACTTGAATTTAATTTTCTCCAATAGGTCTTCCTCATCCTGGTGCTTGTTATATATTTTTTGGTTCTTCTTGTTAGCGGTTATTTTAGTTACAAAATTTTTCAAAAAAAATAATTTTTCTAAAGGTTTAAGAGCAGCAAATTCAGATTTAAATAAACAATTAACCCTGGAAAGGACTGAAGAAAAACGTCGAATTTTTGAATTGGCGAAAGGCAAACATTTGGCAATCTCCCACAAACACAGGCCTAGTGGAGAAAGCCGAAAAAGCACAAATGGAGGGGGGACTAATGGAGGGAAAATAAATGGGGGAAGAGTAGTGGATGATGATGAGGAAGAAGAGGGGGGAGGAAAGGAGGGGAAAAAAGAAGAATCTAAAAATGGAGGTGGTCCTTTATTCTCTTCCAATGGAACAGCAAAAACAAATGGAGTAAGAAAAAGTTGGCATGGGGGAACGGGAGGAGGAGGGGGTGGTGATCAAGTTGGTGGGACAGACAAGGATTTTTTGTTAACACCTTTTTTGACACCAAAACGACGATCTCCTATTCTTCGACAATATTCGGTTATTTTTCTTTTACCTCAAAAGTTTGACCATTTTGAGCCCTGTGAACTATACTTTTTGACATTTTTTGAACCCCTGTAACTCAGCTCAGGGATAGTCCAGTGGGGTAATTCCCAAAACGGCGTGCGGCGATAAGGCGCAAGGCCATAACTTGCCGAAAAATGTCTGCCCTTAAATTTTGATACCAATCTCCTTAGCTCGATGAGAGGACTCGTTTGATACTAGATTTGATAAGATTAGGAAATCTTGAAGCAAGTTATGGCTTCGCGCATTCTCAAGGACTGATTCAGATTTCATCCTACTCAGCTCGATGAGTTGTATTGATTTATAACTTACTGACCATTTTTTACATCTTAACTAAAAATTAGCGCGGGTAGGGGGGGCGAACGATATGACTTGAGAACTTTATTTGTTCCATTCTTAGGACGATTCTTCTGGAAGTTCCCCATCAAAATCTCCACTTCGTCATGCCGGATTTCTTCCTTCATTGGCATCTGTAGATGAAAATGAAGACGAGGAAAATGAAGATGACAATGAAGATGAAGACGACGAAATTGTACATGGCCATGCGGAGGCAATGATATTTAGAAGAAAGAGGAGTAATGCAAGTACACAACAAGGGGTTTGAGATATTTTAATATTGGTCCCGTTTCCCAGTGCCTCTTTGTGAAGTTGATGTTTTAAACAAAGTCGCGCATTGTGCAATCATGAGTTAACTCCACAGATTATAGAAAATAGGGGAATCGCACGTATTGGGGCAATATAGCGAGTCGAGTTCCCTATAAGACACGATTGATATGCCTCCCGGCAACCCTAAGCTGAATGAATGAAGAAGTGAATCTGCCTTGGCCTATTCCACCAGAGCTTATATGCACTAGCTTGCTTCCCAATCGCTTTCCCAAGAATAACTTAGTGGCAATGTTAAGCTTATGTTTTATATGGACGGCTTATTCCGTTTGTGGCGTTCGTCTGTTAACTAGAGTTACTATTGCTCTTCACCTGTCTTTTTAGGATGATCCCAGCTTTGCGATAATAATTTTTTCAATTTAAAAATACAATTATTGAAGGCAAGTCGTCGTTCAAGTGCAGCAGTACAACAACAACAACGACGTCGAAAAAGTTCATCAGCAACAAAAAGTTCAACAAAACATTCACAAAAACAAAATTTAAAAGAAATAATGAAAAGGCCCTCATTACAATTAACGTGGAAAGATCGCTTCCTTTTGTGTATTGGTTGGACAGATCCAGCAAAATTGGAAGCAAGATTGCGTGAACAAATGAAAGAAAATGAAATGGAGAAGGGAAGAAGAAAAATTGAGGAAGAGGAGGAAAGAGAACAACAGCCTCTTTTAAATGGAAGAAGAAAAACAAAAGGAAGAGAGAAATTGGAAGCAAAACAACAATCTGTTGTGCTTGAAGAGGTGTTTTTCTGAAAATATTTGGAATGGAAATTTTTTTAGGAAGGCTCTAATTAGGGTTTTCCCATTTTTTCTATGACTTTCTCCCTGTTAATTTTTGAATAGTCAGAACATTACACCTCTTTTTGGTCCGCACTGTTGTTTTGTTGTATATGTCGGCGACCAAATTACATTTCAGGCCAAATTCAATTTGGCCGGCTAAATTGAATTTGGACAAGAATGTAATTTGGCCGTCGACATATATGTATCTCTCGGTTCAGTCCCAATAGTTTAATGAGATTAGTAAGGATTAAAGGGGATATCGAGGGAATTATAGGTGATTTCGAGGAATGTGAGCATTTAGGAGGATCAGTGGATTTGAAATGTATCAGGGCATTTGAAAGAATATTGAGGCTATCGAGGGATTTGTGGGGATATCGAAAAGTCAGATCGTATACCGGAGGATTAAGAGGGATTTCGGATCACGCATAATCCATTTGAATGGATTATGGGTAATGGTGATCTAATTTTTTAGTTTAAGGCAGAATATTCAGTTCCTTCTGGTGAAGAAGAGGAAGAACAGCCTGTGGGTGATGTTGAAGATGAAACAATTTTACCACCAAAAATATTACAAGAAACCCCAAACAACAACAAAATTGATATTCGAAAAAAATATTTAAATGGAATTTTAATTGGCGGGGAAAATGACAGTTTTGAAGATACAAGTAGATTACCTTCAGCTTTAAGTCAAGGAAGTAATAGCAGTTGTAGTCGAGTTAGTAATCAACAACAACACACACCTAACATTATTGTTAATAAGTAGGGAAATTTAGTTGTTTTTAGGTACTTATCAAGGGATGTGCGCCATGGCGTTTTGGCGTCCATTTTTGGCTTATCAGGGCTGTGCGCCATTTTTGGCTGATTTTGGCATTATGGTTTTTGCGTGTTTTAAGAATTTAAACAAATTGGCGTTTTGTGCGCCACGCGAAAATTTTGACGCACAGCCTTTGTACTTATGTAATCTCCCACACTTATTTTCTCTTCTTTTTCCTTAAAAGGTGAAAATTATGAGCGGATACTTGTCATGAACGGATACCCTATGACGATAAGTATTTTACAACCTATTACCCGGTTTTGTAGACTTTCTATTCCTTTGGGATCAGGGCTGCACGCAACTGAAAAAAAATTTCCGCAGCCGCAATACGCAAGTCAAAAAAAAACTCGCATACGCAATCCGCAATTGCGTGCAGCCCTGCTTGGGATAGGTTCATTGTATTCCTAAAAACCTTTTGTTGGGGTAAAAGCTCGACTCACCCAGAATTATGGTACACGAGAAATAAGAGCCTTGTACTTATCACTATTGAGTATCAATTCATGTCAAACTTGAAACTTTTACATTACCCACAAGAAAGTTCGGATATAGTGTAGTGTATCGGTGGTAAAAGTTCGGGACGTGACATAAGTCATTCGATTCGTCTCGACGAGCTGAGTCGAACGGTACCACTCCCTACCCCAAAATCGACCTTACTCCCCCCTTTGGTTTTTCAATTTTCCGGGACCTATAACTCGGTCCAGAATTATTTCCTAAAATAGGGAGTGGTACCGTTCGACTCAGCTCGTCGAGACGAATCGAATGACATATATCACGTCTCGAACTTTTACCACCGGTACACTACACTACAGCCGAAAGTTCATTTCCTCCTATTCAATTTTAGATTGGCTGACTTGTATGAAGAACATCCTCCAAATGTTTCTTGTAGTAGTAGCAGTTCCTCTATAGGAACGGGTTCTCAAAGAAGTTGGGTTCGTCAACAACCCCAACAAACAACAAATTTAATAAATTTTGCTCTACCTCAGTATAACCAAATAGACGAAGAAGAACAAAAAGAGGTTGAAAAAGAACGACAAGGTTCATTAAATGGACAAGAAAGGAGGTGTTTTTCAAATTTTTTGGAAAATTCGAAAATTTTTTAAAGGATTTCGCTTGAAAGAGAGCATGTTTCTGAAAGTTCCCCTCTTTCTCCAAATGGCGGCAAACATGTTACTTTATTTCCTTCTGAAGAATTGGCACGCCTTTCAATTGACAAAAGGCATCCTTTGCCTATTAATAGAGAATATGAAGGACAACAGAACCCTGAAAGTTTGCCTCCGTTAATTCCTAGACGGAAGCCAACAACTTTAACTTATGGACACCAAGCACCTTTGTTTATTCAACAAAGAAATGGGGGTGGGGGAAGAGGAGGTGACATTAGATCCCAAGATGACATTAGATCCCACGATGACATTAGATCCCAGGAAGGATTAATATTAAATGGGGATTTGTCTTTGTTACTTGAACAACCAAGCACTCCGATAGGCAATTTTAGACCAATACAAGCATCAGAAATGTTTGAAGAAGAAGGGTCATTTGATAATAATAAGACGCCAGAAACGGCTTCTTCAATTACTACAAATACTACTTCAATTAGTGAACGTTCTGATCCTAGATTACAATATGCTAATCCTTATAGCAGGTGTTTTTAATTTTTAGAGGAGATATGTAGTTGGTTACCCTACGTGTTTTAAAATTTTCTGTTTTGTATGAGACATTTGATCCCATAATCCTTTTATTTTTATTTGGAGTTCATTTTTCTTCAAATTTCTCATGATTGGGTTGTCGTTTTTACCAAATTCTTCATTTACATTTATTGAGGATTACGAAAATAAATATCGCGCTATAGAAGGGGTTCTGAATTGATTGAGAGGATTTAAGGTTATCAGGGGATTAAGGGGGATAAAGGGATTGAGAGAGATAAAAGGGATTGAATCCACCGATCAGTGATGGGAAAGTTCCAGTTCCGGGAACGACTCGGTTCCGGTTCCAGTTTCGGAACTGGAACCGTGGAACTGGTAAAGGTCTGGAACCGGTTTGGAACTGGACCCGACGAAATTCAAAAAGCAGTTCCAGAACTGAAACCGGTTCCAGAGAAATTTTGAAACTTTCCCATCAATGCCACCGATATCAACCTCAATCTTCGAATTTGCCTTCTTATCATATTACTACTCAAATCTTTCTTTAAAAATCTTTTTCATCTTAAAGTTATGCTGCTGCAATGTGTTCACCGATAATACCTGATGAGACAATCCTAAATCAAAGGAAAAAAAGTTTTTCAACAAAATCTTCAACACCTCCACAACAACAACCACAATATTACAGTACTCCTAGTCACTCTCATTTACCTCCTCCCCCCTCATCATTACAATTTTTACAACGTCGCAATTCTCGTCAACCAACACCTCCAGCAATATTTTCCCCAAAATTTGAGCAAGATTATGCCCAACAAAAAGAAATGGCTAAAATATTTCATTATACTCCCCCTCCTCCCCCTCAACATTCTTCCTCTTCTTTTTCGTCTTCTGGGCATGATTCCTCTGCATCAACATCTTCAAAGGCTGGAATTTCTTCTAAAATACCTCAACAGAATTTGACAGCAATACAAAAACGAAGAAAACAACAATTTGCGTCTGCATTTGAACAAGTGCCTAAAATGTAAAGGAAAAGAGAATTTTTTGATTTTTCTCCCCAAAAATCACCTTAGTCCCTCCTTACATTTTTTGGCCGTTATGAGTAGTGCCCGGCAAAATCGAACTTGCCGGACCCGGATTCCGTAGTCGTACTTGAACCGGACATGATACGGCATGAATTTTCCGGATTAATCCGATCCGGAAAAATCCTGAGACCGCGACCTCATTTGGGACCCGAACTCCGGGAAAATCCGGTCCGACGCCGGGCACTAATTATGAGACCATAAATCATCCCATAGTTGAATTCCACAGCTTAATTTTGGTGTCATTCAACTAAGTTTGCCTAGCTTTTTTGAATGACACATATTTACAATTGGCAAAAAAACCCGGTCCGACGCCGGGCACCAATTATGAGACCATAACTCGACTTATAGTTGGGTTCCCAGCTTAATTTTGGTGTCATTCAATCAAGGTTTGGTGAGCTTTTTTGAATGACACGCATTTTTTGTCTGAATCGGAGCATGGCAGGGATGGAGAATTTTCAATTTTAAAAAGCTGAACACGGAAGAGGATCCATCCCTGGTGTATGGGACTTTTGTCAGAATTTTTCGAATTTTTTTTCAAAGATATGATCAACCAACATTAGACCAACAACAATATTATAATGATTATTATCGTTCCCCTCATTTATTAACGAGAATAAGTGGTGGTGATGAAGGTGGTTCAACTACAAGTGGACGTGGAACTATGCCCCCTGGTTTTGGTGATGGCAGAGGAAGGGGGTATGGAAGTAGTCCACCACAAACAACATCGGAAAGTAGTCCTGTATGTTTTTTTTGGTAATATGTAGTTTGACTATGCACTCCATTCACCGTATTTTCTCGATTAGTTCCTCTGGGGAATTATTTTTTCAACCCATACGTGGCATGGGGAATTCGAGGGAGGGGAGTTAATCAAGAAAACACAAGAGAATAGGCCCATATTATTGCGTGCAAAACCTAGAACCGTTGAATCCCGCGAGGCGCGTGCCGCAAAACAAGCGCTTGCCGATTCCAACCGGGTTACCTTGAACATTTTAAGCTTGCGTATAAATGGGGGGTGTATAGTCAAACTGCTCAAGTTCCTTTTCTAAAGGAATTTTTGAAAATTTTTATTCATTTTTAAAGGAATTTGGCCATTCCAAATATAAAATTTCTTCACTTTCACCAGGAAGGCATAAAAGAGAACAAGTAAAAAATTCTTTTTTAGGTAATTAGAAAAATTTTTAAAGGAAATTGAAAATTATTGTGGTGATTCTTCAACAACAAGTCCAGAAGGGAGCCCTCCTAAACGCAGATTTGAAATAAGGCAAAGATCAGGCCTTGGATTGGGCCGTCCATTACGCATTCCAACAACAGGAAATAATTTTAATGATAGAAAGAAGAGGGACGATAAAACCCCTTTAGCCTCTAAACAAAGCATTGTTTAAATAAAAAAATTGTTTTTAAATTTATTTTTTTTCTTCGTTATTTTTTTAATTTTCATTTGTGTAAATATACCTATTTTGTATTTAAATACAATTAATTTTTATTAGCGCAAATTTAATAAAGGCAGTCAAAAATACGAAAAAAACAACAACATAAGGTAAAAAAGGGCTCTATGTTTTTCGGTAAATTGTCCGTATGGTGAATCATCTTTTGGTGAATTGTACGGTTGCCCCAATCGTCATTGAGGTCTTCAGGCGCGGGAAGGATCCCGTGCGGTATTCTGCGGGTTTCCGCACTTTAATCCCCCCACTCTTTTTTGATTTGCAGGATCTATCTAGTAGAATCCGTCTTGGTGAGCACGATTTTGATTCGCCGAACGAGATCCCCGAACCATTTTGCCAATCACCTTTTTAATTTAGGGATTTCGTAAAATTATCTTTTTAACACTTTGACATTTTCAAATATCAAAGTGGTAACAGTTCGATTGGACTAAAATTTTTTCTTTTCTTTCCCTATCATTTTTTTCATTTTTTAGGAAATTTTTAAATTTTTTTCCTTATTTATTTTTATTTTTCAGTATGAAGCGTACATATTTACTTCGTAGACCTAAAGACGACGACGAAGAAGACGATTTTTATTCACAAGAAGCAGTCAAAGCCCAACCAATAGACCCCCATTTAGCTCGTAATTTAGGCCCTACATTTGCTGCTGGGAAAGATTTTGTGAGGGCTAGTCAAAAATCACAGAATGAATTTTATGGAAGTCAAAAAATTGTGGAGGCGAGTACTTCTGGAGGAGGGGGAACTGAAAAGGAATATAGAGAAATGACTCATGATGAAAGAAATAATTTGAGTGCAAGTATTATTAAAGCTGAATTGAAGGGAGACAAGGTTTTCTTTTTTTTTTAAATGTTAGTGTCTATGTAGGGTTGTTTCTCGTCCCCAGAAGTCAGGGAACAACCTTATTAGTGTCAATCATTTGTGGAGATCGGTATTTATGAAGAGCCTGTGCCAGGGTTCAGGGTTTGATTTATTGACCTGGGTCGGATCCTGGGTCTGTAGTCCAGGATAAACAATAGTGTTTCACCGGAACCGAAATTTTGACCGGAACCGGAACCGGATCCAATTTAAGTTCCGGTTTCCGGAACCGGAACCGGAACTTCTCTAAGTTCCGGCCCGGAACCGGAACTTTAAAAAATTTTTGCTGAAAATTTAAAAAAATTTCTATTTTAAGTAGGGGTGTAGGTTTCCCCAAATACTTAGATTAAATTTTGCCACATTCTTCGGTTAATCGAAACCGAGCCGAATAACCGAACCGAAACTTCTGGTTAACCGAAACTGACCCTAAAAACCGAACAGAACTACCCAAATCCCCCAGCTATCCAATCTCTGATATCTAACTAGCACAACTGTATCTCTCGACATCACACCCAAATCCTTCTAAATATAATACCTATGACCCATTGAAATCACATGATGTTTTTAGGTGAAGCCAGGATACATATTTCTTCCTTTTTCAGCGCCGCAGGCAAAAATTTTGAGAATTGTGTGGACAATGAGTCAGATTTCTTCTTTACTGGCGCCGCAGGCGAAAATTTTGAGAATTTTGGAAGGCCAACCGAGGAAAATATTGCAAGGCCAACCCATATTTTTAAAAAAAAACCAATCCTTAGGGGTGTAAAAAAGTTCCGGTTTGCCCGGAACCGATTTGTAAACCGGAGCCGGAACCGGAACCGGAACCAATTTGAGTTCCGGTTCCCGGAACCGGAACCGGAACCAAAAAAACACCGGAACTTTCCGGAACCGGAACCGGAACCGGAACTTCCGGTGAAACTCTAATAAACAAGACCCAGGAAGGTCAAAAAAATGCCTAAGCCTCGACTCTGGTTACAGGAAAAACCCAGGCGCCTTGGTCCAGACCCGGGCCGATTTCTATTCAGTTGTGACGTGATTTTTTTCGGAGTCACTTTCCAGGCACTTAATCTCAATCCATTATTTTTAAATTTTTAGGAAAAAGTAGAAAAATTAAAAAGAAGACTTCAAGAAGGGATTATTGAAATTAAATCTAAAAATGGCGAAACTGGACAAGAAAAGAATGGCGAGAAGAAGTCTGTGATATTAATGGAAATGGACAGAAAGAGTGGATTGACTAAACCTGCAGTTGCTTCAAGCAAGGTTTTTTTATTTTGAAATTCTAGGGGCGCTTCAGCTCACTTAACGGTCTCATACCCGTGCGAACGTTTCGTTTCGTAATTGTCTTGAGGAAGAATAGGGAAGTTCCTTAAGTTAAGGAAGTTTCTTTAAGTCCCTTAAGTGAAGAAAAAGGCGATCTTTTCTTACTACGAAAGTATTTTTTCGTCATCACGAAGCGTAGCTTTCGTTTGTCTTCTTGACGCCAACTGGGATTTTGTGATTTCTTTTTGAAGACAAATAGTAGCTCATTTAATTTAGGAAGGACAAGCTTTTTGGTTTTTAATAGACTAGAGATAGGTAATTTTAACAAACTTTAATTTTGGTTGGGGATCTTGACCATATCTTCACTCAAGAGTCAAGAAAAATTAAGAAATATTGAAAAATGCCTTGATTTTGACTCAAACGATTTCTAAGACTAACTAAAGTAGAGAATTTAATTTTTTTTATTTTTTTAGTCAAATAAAATGTCAGACAATTCTGACAATAAACAACATATAATGGGCGTAATTGAAGAAGAATATTCAAAAGAATCAAGTTTGGGCGATATGCTTGCTGAAGAGAAGCGAACAACTGCTGAGGATCAGCTTTCGATGTTTAACCGGGCTGCTGAGGTTTTTTTTTAATTTTTTTGGACTGGGGATTTTGTTTTGTAATTGGACCTGGTTTTATTGACAATTTGAAGCCCTATAACTCCAAAAGAGATTGCTCTGGGCCTGGACCAAGGCTTGGGATTTTCCTGGACTAAGGCAATTTTCAATGTTTTCCCCAGGCTTTTCAAAAATCTTTTGGGACAAGAAAATGTCAAAAATTGACAATAAGTTTTCGCCCATGTTTTATCAAAAGATGCCGAAAAATGAACGAAATTAATTTTTTTATTTGTTAAGAAGGTTTTCTAGTAGGCTGATTGCTGTTGCTTTTGGCTTTAGAACACTAATTTTTCGCTTATAAATTTTTTAATTTAGCCAAAAAAAAATTTTTTTCTAATTTTTATAATTCCCCCAACTTTCTTTTCTCCGATTTCTAGAAGAAGGCATTATTTTTAATTTTTATTTAAATTTTTCCATTTTTATAAGTTTCTTTTAGATATTTTCACAAAACCGTCAAGATGAGGAAGGATTTTTTGATGATGCTTTGGATAGTCGGAAGAAACGAAAAATTGATAAAATTGATTCTCAACAACGCCAAACAATGATAAAAGGTTGGGAAATTTTTTTTTGTTTATTTTTAGAAATTCAAAAAAAAAATTTTTATTGGGGGTTTATGTCGGGGACTATGCAAAATGGCATACATAAAGGGGCATACAATGCAGGGAATCACGGTTTGACAAAAAAGAAAGTTGGTTCGAGTTTTAAAAATTTCCTTCGGATTGGGTTTTGGGTCTAAAAAAGTCCGGTCTTTTGGAGCAACTCGTGACATCCCTGCTATAAAGGGATTGATCCGAAAGAAAAGAAATTTTTAAAACCCGATTAATATAAGGGGGCATTTAGTCCATTTAATTCAGGACTATATGCCCTTCATTTACTAAATTTAAGAAAAATCTTTTGGTTATTTTTTCTATTTTGAGGATTTTTTAAATATTTTTGAACCTTAAAATAACTTACAATTTTCTTAAAAATTTTTTTGGGCGATAAATAAAAATTGGGATCAATTGTCATTATTTCTCAAATTATTAGAAAAATTTTTTTCCCTTTTTCTTATTTTTTGGATTTTTTAAAAAATCATTTTTAACTCTAAAAAACAAATTTAGAGACCAAAAAAATTTATTATTTTTAAAAATTAAATAAATATAAATTTAATAAAAAATTACAAAATTCATTTACTTCTCAATAATAAGCTAAATTCATGTATTTTCTTTGATAATTTCCTTAGGGCTGCTTTTCTTTCATTTTCTTGATTTTGTCGTTCTAATTCTTTATTTGAAGGTGTGGGGGAAGTTGTTGAACCTGTTTGGAATTTTTTTGAAATTTTTTCAAAAAATTTTTGAATCTGAGGCCTTTAAAGAATTTTTAAATTTGGGCGAAAATTTTGAGAATTTTTGGAAGGACAAGAAGCCAGAAATCTTCCTTTTTCAGTGCCCAGACGAAAATCTTGGGAATTTTGGGGGTTGTAGGCGAAAAAAATTCAATTTTCTGATCATTTCTTTCCCAAAATTTTTTTCACTTTCTCCCATTTTGGTAGACTCTGCATCTAATTAAGGTTGGAGTTTTCGAGTCGGGCCGACATTCGAGTCATTTTTATCAGGCCGGCCCAACCGAGTCTTTTTTGGGCCAAAATTCGATACCCGACTCGATCTTTCTTTTGGACCTGGCCCCTAACCCTAAATCTAATGTTACAGAGTCATTTTTCCGTCTAATTAACAGCTCCCAAGTTCCTACTTTTTTTAGTTCATCTCAACAAATGTCCCCCTCTAGCCTTTCATTTAAAAATTAATTTTTCTTTCTTATTTTTTACAAAAAATCAAAAATTAGTATATTTTTGCAGAAATAATTAATTTTTCTAATTAATTTTAGAAAACTTGCCGAGTATTTTCTCTGATGATTCTTTTAAATTATTTTTTATTTTATTATTTCTTTCACCACTTTTTTTATTTTCTTCATTATTATTAATTATTGTCGTTAATTTTCCAATATTTTCATTTTTTATTCCTCCTCCTGTCAACCTTCTCTCAACAGTTGAAGGGGAAGGTGTTTGTTGTAATAATAAATCTTTTCCTTTACTAGAATTAAATTCAAAAGGTTGTTGCCCTCCTTCGTCTGTTGCTTCTTCTTCAACGGAAGTCCGGCATTTTATTTTTTCGTAATATGTTGCTTTTCGAAATGGTCTCATTAAACGGGGGTTGTCATATTGGGTTTCAACTAGTAATTCACAAAAGCCTGTTTTTTGGTCCTAAAAAATTGGAAGAAATTATTTTTGTATATTTAAGTTTAATATTATTAGTTGATATGAGGGGGAGGGTATTTGAAAGATTCTTAATTAAAGGAAAAAGAGAGGGATATCCGAGAGAGTTTATAATTAGAGGAGCAGGGTGATATTTAAAAAATTTCTTTTGAGGAAAAAGAGGGATTTCTTAGAGATTTTCATTTATATGGACAGGGAAGAGGGGATATATGTATTTGAGAGATTTAAAACTAGAATGTTTGGAGGGATTTTGTGATACAGTGAGGGCATATTTTCTTTTGGATTTCATATTTGTGCTGTCTTATGTGAAAGATCTTTCGAAGAGTTAAACCTTAAAAGTCGACCAATACTCGAAATTTTTTTTCGATTCGAAGCTCAACTAGCTTGTTTATCTGATCACTCAAGTTATTACCTTTTTTCCTCCAATTGATTCAAAGTAATTTACAGCTTTACATCTAGTTGTTTCCAAACAAAATTGTAAGCATAAAGAATGTTCACGTACTTGTTTAGCTCCAATCATTTCACCAAAATAGACGTACTCGGGAATTGCATGGCTTTCCAACCCGAAAGGGCAATCTTTAAAATACTTTCTATCAGAAACAAGACCAGACGAGATCTCGATCAAAAATCTCGGTTATCGAGATAAAGAATTTTTCGAGAGCTCGATTCTCGTACAACCCTTCCAGCCCGATCTCTAATTGAGTGTCCGAATTAGAAACTGAACCCATGGTTCAAGATCGATTGAGAAAAACCTCGGTCTGGATAACAAATTTTTGAACGAACAGAGGAAGAGCAGACCAAACCTCTCTACCTCAAAGTCTTAGTCTTCAAGTCAATTCTAAAGGAATTGACCAAAAAAATCCAAGCCTTAACATCAAAGATTTATAAAAATCTTCACGTAATTCTGATTATTCTCTTCATACTATTTCTTATTTTTATCATAAATATGGGAGGATATATACTCTATCTAAACAATCATTTACCTGATTCATCATATACAATGTCATAAAATGGTGGTTGTTGTGGAGGGTTCATGTGTGCACGGGCATCTCCAAACCATTCTGTTGTTGCTTTTGTTCTTTGTATAAGTAGGGTTATTAGTAGAGTTAATGAGGAATAATAATAATTATAGTGCATTTTTTACTTTGGGTGGATAAATTTCTAGAAAAAATTATTTTAGTATTTTTTGTTTACGTTGGGGGGTTTGGGGGATTTTTTTGGAAGGTTTTTTGTAAAGCCATTTCTGAATATTTTAAATTGCGATTGGTATCTTGCCTATATCTTGATTTTCAAGTGGTTATGACTTGGTCTGTAATTGAGGCTCCCACTAAATTCGGGGTGGTTTAAGGAGAGGCTCTCTTAGGATTTTTACAAGCTACCGTTTTTGCCTTCCCATCGAGGCGTGACTCTGTTTAAGTGTTGGGAACTTCACCAACTGCCCCGCTAGGCATTGAACCTGAGTCTCCCTTTAAGTCGGGTGTTGGTTTTTCTGTCTAATGGGGTTTTAGAGATTGAATTTTAGAGAATAGGAAAAAAAGTAATTTTTTTAAATGAAGGGTTGGAAGTATTTTTCTCCAAATTTAAATATCAACTGCCTATTTAAATTTGCACCTCAATGTAAACAACAAATTTTTATTTTGTCAATTTTATTTGCTATATACGGCCTTAGAAAGGTTGTTTTAGTTGAAAGAATGTTTGGAGGGGGGCTGTATATTTTAATTATATTTTTATTTTTGTGGCTGCGGGTGATCACTTTTCTTCTTCTTAACCACAGGCAAAGATTGTGTTTGTTGAGCTCTTCTCCCCTCTTATTACCAAATTTCGCAACGTATTCGTCAAAGGCGATCAAAACGCATTCATGACCATCACAGAAACGCCTTTAATTCTTCTTTTTTATTCACAACACTAGCAGAAACAAAAATACACACAATCTTCGCTCCACTCAATAGAAGGGATAGGGGTACGTTTGGGCGTCAGTTTATAGACGTAAGCTTTTAAAATAAGCTTGTGAGGACCTAGGATCTTCGAAATTTTTGATGGATGCATTTTTTAGTGTTTTCTAATGGAGTCTAGATTTTGTTAGAATTTTTAGGTATTGGAAGAGTTTGGGGGATAGAATCTTAGTATAACCAAAAATGTCGAATTTTCCATGATGTGACTGATTCTTCGTTCATAACTCCCATTATACTTTTTCAAAAATCTTCAAGTTTATAGGACACTTGGTTAACGCCTTGTAAAATACCTACACAAAATTTCATTCCTCTAGGGTTCTTCTCAATTGAAATTTTTAATTCCGCGCCCAAACCCTGTCGCGCCCAAATATCTCAAACCCTCACAGGATTACCTATCATATAACCACTTTCTTATAATTTTTCTGAAAAGAAGATTGAAAGAGAGAGAAAAGAAGATGGACTTATTTTTTGGTTATAAATTTATTTATTTGGTTGTTTGTGTTCTTCAAAAAAATTTTTGTTTCTGTTTTTGTTGTTGTTTGTCGCCGTTTTTGGAAAATTTCTTTTATTTTTTAATATTTTTATCCTTTAAATTTATCATTTCTATTTTCGAAAAAAAGAAATTTTTTTATTAGAAAAAGAACGTTTGTTCTTCTATTCACGTGACAAAATATTTTAAAAAATTGGGAAGAAAACAAAATTAGTATATTGAAGGAATGGAAAAAAAGGAATTTTTAAGGGGGTGTTTTGTAAGGAAAGAAGGAATGTTGTTTGGGGACTTTAAATAAATTTGTAATTGGAAAATTTTCTATTTTTAGTACAGGAAAGTTTTCAAATTATTAATTAGTAGTTCGTTAAAAAACAAAAATTAGTAAGGGAGAAGATTTATTGTGGAATTTTTGAGAACTATTTTTAAAATAAGCAGCCGAACATTATTTTTATATACTCCATCTCGAGACTAGAAATTGTAGTAACTTAAATTGGGAGTGACCAAAAGAGTGCCTAATTTTTGGATATTTAAAAACGAGGTTCGACTGTGTGACTAACGAGTTTCAATTTTTTAACTTTAACTAGTCTATCTCGATATCTCACGTCTGCATAAACCCAGTCTTGTTTAGATTTGACTGTAATATTTGCTTATAATTCACAGACTCCATGATGTATTCCGTTTTCAACAAGATCGTGTTTTGTCCGCAAACCTTTGGATAAATGGGTGGAGTGTAGGGTTGTCGATTTTTAGGAAATCTTAAAATTTCCTTACCAAAGAACTCAAACATCTTTGGTTCGGTTCCGAACCGGCAACCCTATCAATGAAGTTAATAGTATCGCCCAATTTGTGTAATACAATCCAAAAGAATTTTTATTTTTCGTAAAATGACGCAAATTGTGTTCATTTAATTACACGTAAATGACCTTGACTTGAACTGGTCATTGATTTTTAGGTTAATTAAGGGAATTTCTTTTTTTAATCTTTTGCGTCATCCTTTTTTGATCAAACAATGATTAAATATTTTGTGTGTGTTTTGTATACAAAATTTAATTTAAAATTCTCTTTGGTTAAATTCTGATTAAATTTTTGTTTTCTTATTAGTCGGACTAATAGGGTTGTTTGTTCGGGTTCGGTTTACCTCCTTTTGAGGAGTAAATATTGTTTCTTGTAATGGGGTGTATCTTAGATAGTGGGTAGTTTGGTTGGCGAACGAGTTTTTCGGGATTAGCCGAACCCTCGGGTTTTGGTTTTTTCGGGGTTCTATATTTAAATGAGGGATGACTAATTATGTATTTAAAAAAATGGGGAAATTAAAAATTAATTTTTAATTTATGAATATTTCTAAATTTTGAAAAAAATAAGCAATAAAATACATACATATATTAATTTTAATAAATCTTTAAACAAATGTATTTGCCTTTTAATTAAATTTTTAGAGCACAAATTTGTGGAACGAACACTCGATTCTTGTTCAAAATGCATTGAAAGTCGGCTTTTTGAAAAACATGCAGTTATTGCTACTGGAAAAAAGGTGTGAATGAGAGGAGGGTGAGGGGTTGTTTTTTTAAAGGAAAAAAATTGAATATGAGTCTAGGGTTCCGAAGATTTTCCAAGAACCAACAACCATATGTGAGACTATGAATCAGTTAACAAGGATTTTTACTTTGAATTATCGTCTCTATAGGCAAATTAAATGGATGTTCGAAGAATTTCTTAGATCTGACATTCACTTACATGGGACAAAATGTCAAATTCTTTGTATAATTAAATTTAGTGGAATAAGAGGTTAGGTTACTAGTATACTTCTCAATATCTCATAAAATCTCGATTCTCGGTAACCGAGATTTTGTTTGTTAGATATATTGTCTTGGATCGACTCCTGAGTGTAACCGAGGATGCCATTAAGGAACCCATACTTTTTTTATTTGCCCGCATACTGGGCATCGTAAAAGATGTCTGAATTTCACAACTTCCTTTTTTCTTCAAATTTTCTATAAATTTTGTAGACTTATTTGTCTGTTATCAATTGGGATGGACTTTCTCCAGAACATTGTTATATAACAACAATGGAGCATTATTCAAGTTCTTTGGTGTTAGATGAGGATGTTTGGGAAGAAATACAATTTTGGATGAAAAGTTTGGTGAATATGTGGAGAGAAGATGAGGAAGACCAAGATTGTGTTTTCTTTGAAAATGCTAGGGATATACACGAACAAAAACATATGTCTATTGAATGTGAGTCTTTTTTTGGAAGGGAGAGGAGGAGGGAGTTTGTTATTATTTGAGGGATGGGCCAGTATCCTAGAATTCTGATATCTGAGATTCTGATTTAATTCTGGCAAAGTTCTGATTTTTTAGCTAATATTCTGATATGCCGTTTCGATACCTAAAAATAGAGGGATTTATTTATATCGATAAGATCCCTGGACTTATTACCACTCTTAATTAAAATTAAAAATGTTATAGAAAGTCGACTATTGAATGTAAGTCTTTTTTTGGAAGTGAGAGGAGGGGAGGGAGTTTTTGGGAACCTCTATTTTTGGAAATCGAAACGGCATATCGAATATTATCAAAAAAATCAGACTTGCCGAGAGACGCAGATCGTATAAAGACTGTTTAAATTCGACTCATGAGAGACTAGTTATAAGTTTATAAGCGCTGTGGTAGAGGTGTTAGGGAGGGTTCGGTAGAAGTTTTATGAGTTCCTAAAAATACTGAGCTTTTCAAAATGAGTCTAAATGCATAAATTAGCGAAATTAAAGTGAGGTTGAACGACTTTAAAAGATCTTTATTTTTTAGGTGTTCCATTACCAAGAGAAATTGGTGATTTGTCTCCTATATATTTTAAGGTAAAAAAATTTTTTTAAACAAAATAGAAAATTTAAAAAAATGCTAAAATTGTAATGGAAATAAAGTCCGAGAATCTAAATTTCTGTGCGGCTCTGATCCAAATTTAAGCCCAGGCTTTCTCAACTTTGAGGATTTCTTTTTATTCTGATTTTTAAAAATTTGGCTAAAAATTGAAAAAAAATTTTTTTTCTTTAAAGAAAGCAATAATGGAATCAGAAAAGGAATGGAGTGTAAACAAAAAATTAATTGATCTTTCCAAAAATCCAAGACAAAGTCAAGGTGTTCGTGGTTTAGTGCCTAAAGGTTTCCCCTACTTTGCTGTCTATTTTGGATTGCAACCTGGATATGCCCACGTTATTGAGAAGGAGAAAAATTTTCCCGCTAATTTTGCTCAGGTGGGGGGAGAATTTTTATTTGATATGACTAACAATATTCTGATTTAAATGGGCAATTCTGATGGGATTATGCTAATATTCTGATTAAATTCTGGGAAGATTCTGAATTCCGATAAGTTCTGATTTTATTCTCACAAAGTTCTGGTAATATTCTGATCAAATTCTTGTAATATTCTGATTTAATTCTGACATATTCTAATTTTGTTCTGACATATTCTGATTAAATTATGGTAATATTCTGATTTTGTTCTGATATATATTCGATTTAATTCCGATATGTTCTGATTTTATTCTGACCAAATTCTGTAATATTCTTATTTGATTCTGACATGTTCTGATTTCATTCTAATAGAATTCTGATATATATTCTAACATTCTCCGACCCATTTCTGATAAAATTCTGATTTTTTGGGTGATATTCTGGCAAAATGTGCATATTCTGATTTATTTTTATTCCAATACCCAAAGCTATATTTTTCCCAATTTAAAGGAAATAATTGGTGGAATGCTTGATTTACACTACAAGCATTGGAAAAATCCGAAAAAGCAGTCTTTTAATGAAATTAAAATTAAACGAGAACAATTACGTCAAAAATTTTCAAAATATGATTGGACAGAAAATAAAAGTTTGTCAGATAATGAAAAAGAAGAAGAAAAAAATTAATAAAATTTATATATTTCAATTTTATATATTTATTTTTAAAATCAGGTAAAAATTATTTTTGGTAAATCCTTATTATTTTTATTTATTGGGGTGACAATTCACCACCCAGAATAATAGACTTTGCTACGCGGTTCTGTTATGATTCTGATTTAATTAAAAATATTCTGATTTTGTTCTGATAATATTTTAAACAAATTCTGATTATATTCTGATTAGTTTCTGATATTTATTCGTTAATTCTGACCAATTCTGATTTTCTGATGCAATTCTGATTTTATTTTTTGTTCTGATTTATTCTGATTTAATTTCGACATGTTCTGATTTTATTCTAATATAATTCTGATATATATTCTGACATATTCCGCCTTAATTCTGATAGAATTCTGATTTTTTTGGATAATATTCTGATCGCATCAATTTCCTAATTCTGGTTATTTTCTCTTTTAATTCTGTTTTTAAGACAGTGTTATATTTAAAGGGAACACTATAATTTCGTCATGTCTCTCTAATTCCATTCCCCCCTTTAAAAAAATTTTTTTTGTCGGCCAATTCTTAATTGAAAAAAAAATTAAAAAGAAGCCCTTTTTATACCTCGTGGCAATAATATTTAATTTCAAAAGTCCTTTTTTTCTTTTTTTATTTATTTATTATCCTCTTTTGCACTTAAAAAAATGTTCGTCACGAAAATAAAATGTTTTCTTTCCTTCTTCTCTTGACGGGATTTTTTTCAAAAAAAAAATGCCCGTTCCAGACTTAACCCCCTTTTTTCCCCTCTTCAAATAAAAAAAAAAAACTCGCAGACAATGTCTAGACAGGATGGCATCCGCACACAAACAACAAAAAAATGTATTTTTGTTGTTTTGTTTTTGCCCCGCCTTTTTTCATTAAAAATTGGGGGGTTCTCTGTGTTTGTTGTTGTGTCTCTATTTTTATGTGCAGACACATTTTCTCGCTTTTTTAATTTTATGTATGACTCATTATTTCCCCCCATTACAGACAGTTAACAGCCGGTTGCCTTCTTGTCTTTCTCTTTTTCTCTCTCTTTCAATCTGCTCTCTCTCTTCTTTCGTTTTTATACCTGGACAAAATAACACATTGTCAATGTGACAAAATGCCAAAATAAAACTTTGGACAACATGCCAAGCAGGGGCGTGCGCAAGAGAAAATTCAAAAAAAAAAAACGCTACGCAAGGCCAAAATCAACGCAAAAATAGGAAATTTTTTATCAAGTATTAGCCATATTCCAATTAAAAATTGAATTATGGATAAATATCAGTGAGTCCTACTCGATTTTATGATACATAAAGGGTTTAGATGGATAATGATTTGGAGTGATATCGGGGATACACCGGGGATTACGGAGGATATCAGTGGATCACGTGGACTAAGAGGGGGGGGGTATATAAGGAGATTTGTAGGGGGAATTTGTATTCCAGTTCCGGAACCGAAGTTTTTCTGAGCCGCTCCATGATTGCAGAATATCAGTATTCAGATCAAGGCTTCCTCCTTGTCCTCAGACTGGTATACTTTTCGCGTTTTTTGCGTTAATTTTGCCAAAAATAACGCATTGCGCTAATGCCAATAATAGGTTTTTTCACTTTTATTCTTCTTCGCCTTTACTTTTTATCTTTTTCTCATCTTCCACTTCCTCTTCTTTGCTCTTCTTCTTCCTTCATTTTCGTTCTTCTCCATTCCCCTTCAATTTTTCTCTTCATTTTGAAACTTCCTTATTGGCATTTTGTCGATTTTTGTTGTCTTGGCATTTTGTCCTTCTTGACATTTTGTCCTTCTGGCATTTTGTATAGACATTTCTTTTTCTTTTTTCGTCAGCCAGACAGTTTAGTTGTTCTGCCTCCATTCTCTCTTTTTTAATTTTTTCTTAACCCTCCTTATAATTATAAAGAGTTTCTTCAACCACTGTCTGCACAAAATGTGTGGTTGCCGCCAGACAGCAGAAATTAAAAAAAGCTCAGACACAATTGCGAGACTAGACAAAAAAAAAGAAGAAAAGGGTAAAAGGACAAGAAACAAACGGGGCGTAGCCTCTTTCTCTTCTTTTTTCTTCTTTTTTTAAAATTTTCTTCCATTAAAAATACTCTCTAGACAGAGACTAGACAGTCTTGTGGTGGCGGTAAGTCATCTGCTTTGCAATATATATAAATATTTTAAACAACAAAAAAGCAGCCGTTGTCTACTCACATTTTATTTATATATTTGTTTGTGTGTGTGTTCCAGCTTCATTCCTTTCCCTTTTTAACTTTAAACTTTTCTGTCCTTTAAATTCGCCTGTTTTATTGTTTCTTTTTTTTTCTTTCCTTCGAAAAAATTTTTTTCAAAAAAAATTTTTTAGACAACTTTTAAAATATTTTTTTAAAAATGTTGACGGGCTTGATTAATGCTGTTAGAAGAAAAATTCATAATTTGAATGAGGAAAAGGAAAATGATTCTTTGTCTTTTGATTGTGATAAACAACATAATAATAAATGCAAATTTATGGTAGGGTGGGAATTTCGACTTTAAAAATTTTTAAAAAATTTTTGAAATTTTTAAAAATTAATTTGGAATGCATTTTTAGCTATTCAGATCTCTTTTCATTCTTCAAACATTTTTTCTTCAGAAATAAAAAGTTTGCCGTTGACCGGGTTCGAACCCATGCCCTATTTTCTAGCATTTTCCAACTTAACCAAAAGTACAACTGTTGAAAGTTATTTCTGCACTTTTTTGATGTCACATTCAAGCATCCTTGGGAACAATTTTTTTATAAGACGTTCTTTAAATAGAGGGTATCGCTGAATCGGCTCTCCCTCTTTAGCACTCTATCTTTTAATCAATCCCAAAAGTTGTCAATTTTTCCAAAAATGCCAGTTTTTGGTTGTTGGAAAATGCTAGGAAGTCCCCCATTTTTGGTCGTGTATCTCGTACACCCTAAAGTTGTCCTTTTTTGTTTGTACTTCGTACCAAGAATACGGGCACGAATTTCGGTATGACGTTCAAGCACTCCATGTCCGCTGAATTAAAGAAACGAATCTTATAGTTAAGCTTTAGGTCCGTGAGGTCCCTCTTATTTTTAAGCTTTTAAAAGACATTTTGCCTATCCTTAAACACATTTTCTGGATTAGCATTTACACGTCTAAAACCAAAACAAACTACACACAAATATATTTAATTTTCTTTTCTAGTTACTAAGCCAACAGGGAACATCTCAACACTTACACCAACAAGATTATGACTCCAAAAAAACAAAATTGTCAACACAAAAATCTGTTGAAACACCGTCAAAAAGAAAATTAATGTCTCGACGACAATCAAATAAAGAAAATAATAATATTGTAGCTATGGAGAATAATTACAACAACAATAATGTTGGCAGGTGGAAACGTTCCAATAGTGGTGGAGGGGAAAAGCCACCAAAAGTGACGACAATGGAGAGAATTGTAAATAATTTTTAATTAAAGTATAAAAATTAAATTTTCTTTCGTTGCTATGCGGAGATTAGAAAAAAAATAAACAAAATCTTTAAAAGTGCGAAGAAAAAAAATTTTAAAAATTAAAAAATCCGCAAATAATTTGCGGACATCCGAAAAATTTTGCAGACGTCCGCAAAAATAAAATTTTACAAAAATTTTTAACCTCCAAGAAAATTTTTCAGGAAAAACTAAAAGAACGTTTCCAACAAGAATCTACAGAAGATGAAATGGACAGCAACATCCCCGATGAATCTTCAGATCGTTGCTGTATTTGTTTGACGCAAAGGGCTACTGTTCGAACTTACCCTTGTGGGCACCAAGTCTTTTGTCGTCTTTGTGCCATTACTTTGATACAGGTGGATATTGAAGAAATTTATTTTTAAAATACGAGATCGGCCTAAGAAATAAAATCCTCACAAATTTTAAAAATCCGCAAAAAGTTGCGGACGTCCGCAACTTTTTGCGGACATCCGCAAATTAAATTTTAACAAAATAATATTGAAAAAAATTCTTTCAGACACTCTACAAAAGCGGAAGTGAAGAAATGCGTTGTATTATTTGCCGGGTTAACATTATTGCATTGCGACATCAAGATTTTAAAAGGGTTAATCCCCCAACAGTTAATCAAACACACAACGAGGCTACACATTGGAGATGTTCGTACAACAGGAAGAGATTATACAACGATTAAAGATCGGGTACCCCAACTTTTTTAAAAATTGGTTGGTTTGTGAGGGAAGGCACAATATCTGCAGCCAACCACTGGTGTGAAAGTTCTTAGAATGGCAACGCCAAAAACGGAAGAATCCGCCGATTAGTGTTCAAAGGCTCCCGGACTCCGTCAGTGGAAAATCCGTCAAACCTACCGTCGCCCAAAATTCTTATTTTTTTGTATGTGAGGGATTAAAAGAGCTATCGAGGAGATTAAGGAGGGAAATCGGAGGATTTGGAGGAATATCGTGTGATTAAGAGTATCGGAAGGATTAAGAGACCACTGACGAATTGTCCACCGTGGATTTTTTTCTAATTTTTGCCCGATCTCTTTATTTTGTTTTAACACCTAAAAATGATAGAAATTTACATTTGTTTGTATTTTACCCTTTTATAGTAAACGATCTCTAATTTATGCCTATATTGTAGATGCAGGTTAATGGCCAAGAGCGGTACTAGAATGTAGTTAAATTTCAGACTGAGAAACATCTGCGGACATATTTTCGAATCCGCAAAACATTTGAAATATCCGCAAAACTTTTGCGGACATCCGCAAAAAAAATCCGCAAAAGTTTTTTGCGGATGTCCGCAAAAAATGTCCGCAAAACTTTTGCGGACGTCCGCAAATTTTTTAAAATTTTTTTCAGTACCGCTCTCTATTTTTAACTAATCTTTATATTTTCTAGTTTTTTGTTTAAAAATGTGTTTGTTCTTCTCTTTATTTTTATTTGTCCAATTTTCTTTTATAAATCACTTAAAATAATGTTGCATATTTTTTTCCTTTTCTTTAAAATTTTATTTTTCACCAAAAATATTTTTTTATAAAAAACACACAAAAATATTATTTTCAAAAAATAAATAGTTAAAAGAGCTTAAAAAAGAATTTCTTAAAAATTTCTTCAAAAAAAATAAAAATATATAGGTAAAGATTAGATTAATTAAATAGGTGTAAAAATGATTTTAGGAAAATACATATAACCCGATAAAAAAATTTTTTTAAATTTATTTTCAATTGGACTTCACTATAAGATGCAATCAATATACATTTTTTAGACAAAATTTTTTTCACTATTTTCGAGTCTGCAGAACTTTTGTGGACTTGAAACTTTTGCGGACTGACCGCAAAATTTTTTGCAGATTGTCCGCAAAAAAATTTATACCTCTATTTAATGAACGTTTCATTATTTGGTTGAGCATTGTGTCGAGGAAGATGCCCAAACAATACCCTTTATTTAATATTTAATCAAGGGGCATTTTTTGTTGCTCAAATGGGAGGAAGGTGTCTTATAGTGAAGTCCGACTTTGTACATATAAATCAAAGCTTAAGAGTTAAAGACTGCACTAAACTCAAAAAATATTTAACAAATACAGAGGATAACATAACTAAGAGAGAATACAGATAACGACGAGAACCACAAAAAGTGTCCGCAAAAAACTTGCGGATGTCCGCAAAAAAAATTTTTTTTGTATTTTTTCAAGCTTTAAGTCTCAGATTTTAAAGGTAGAGCACTATAAAATTTTGAAAATTAAAAAAATTCTCTCTATTAAAATTAAATTACAAGAACAATTTAAAGCAAAAATTAAAAAAAATTTTTAAAAATCAAAATTGCTAGAAAAGGGTTTAAAAAATAAAAGGATTAAATAAAATAAAAAATAAAAACTTTTTCTTTCAAAAAGACTACCTTCCACTCCCCACTGTTTGTGTTGAAACATTTAAATATTTTGGGGTATTTGCTTGTGACCATTTTCTTTGTTGAAAACAGAGGTTTAAAAGTGAACATTTTAGTGATCTTTTGAAATAAAAAATTAATAGACTTAATAAAGTCGGACCTCTGTACCGAACCGAAGACCCGAGAATTTTTCGGTCCGGTATCGGACATCTAAAGAATTACCAGGAACCGACAACCCTACTCATTACTAATCTTGCCTAGGAAATCCCCGAATATCCGAATTCGATATCCGAAACAAGGAAATCCGGATTTTTTTGGGATTAGGATAGCTGGATCCACTAACACTGCCTATTATAAGATAAACCCTCACAAGGAAACCTCCCGAACTGTAAGTCAAAATTTTAGATTTTTTTGATCTCAATCGATAGAGCGTCATCGATTTACTCTAGAAAAATATTGGCTTTTTTCCTAGGAATATGAAACTAAAAAGTTATGGGGCTTCAAAAGTTTTCCTTGTAAGACCGATATCTCATCCTGGAGTTAACATCATCCAGGCATCCCCTTCTAACTAACAATAACTGGGGTAATCAAATTCTTTAACCAAATTTTAAGACATCATGAAAACAATAGTTTAACCATTACGAGTCGATTGAGAAAAAAAGGGGACAAAATTTAGAATTAATAAAAACCTTCTTAAAACTCACCCCCTCCCCCCCCCTGGGAAAAATTTAAAAAAAAATTAAAAAGAAAAACCTCGGAATAACAACATTATTTAAATCATTAACCAACAATTCAAAACAAACATTGTAAATATCATCAAATAATTCTGGGCTGTTTAACCATAAAGATTTTTGACCAGAATCGCAAAAAGTGGCTAATCCTTTAAAAAAATTATTTAAAAATTTTTAAAAAACTTAAAAAAAACCTTCTACACATTTTAAAAATAAATTTTTATTAATTTCATTATTTTCTTCTAATTCGGTATTTTTCTAAAAAAAATTGAAAAATTATTATAAAAAATTAAATAAAACAGGGCCCGAAATCTGGAATTGGATACAAGACTCGATTAGACTTTTTACTTGTATAGTTCCCAACTAGGGTTTTTCTGGGTTAGTCAACCTAGGGATTTGGTGAAATCGGCGACCCTACTCCCAATTTATTGTTAGCCTAATTTATGACCAGTTGAAAAAAAAGTGAAGAAATCAAAATTATCAACGAGTCAGAAAAAAGAAAAAAATTGGAGGAAAAAAATTACAATAACAAAGGAGAGGCTTTTGGGTATCCGTGGGATTTCTGGATGAAATTTAGTGGATAGGTAGATGATACCATTTGTTAGTTAAATGGCAAGGAAAATTTTTTTGTTTAAAATTTTTAGAGTTCATACAGCTTTGAAAGGAATCCCAGTCAATCGACCAAAAAAATTTTTTGAAGAAATTCCACACCCTTAGCTCCTTGTAATAATTCAAATCCCAAGCCCTTTCTAAAAATTTCAAAAAAAAACCTTGCAAATTTCATTTAAAAACCCAATCCAGCCAATTATTGTATTAAATATTGTAAACAAAACCAAATTTGAACTTTCCAAAGCTCTATTAAATTTTCGGGGCCATTTGTTAACCAAAAGTTGTGCCAAAACTGTTGGGAGGGTTGGCAAGTTTGATTCTTCTTCGTCCAGAAATTTTCTTATGGCTTCTTTTAGACAAGCAGAAAATGAATTTTGGAAGTGTTGAGAGGCTAAAAAGAATAAAAAAAATTTTGTTTTTGAAAGCTACTCTTCTTTAGCAAATGTCCGCAAAAATATTTGCGGACAAATTTTCTAAATAATTTAATATTCGAGTCATTCCCTGTCATTCCTTGGAATTTTTTCTCACGTTTTTTCAGGAATTAAAAAATAAATTAGAAAAAAGGGGATTAAAAAGCCAAACATCTACTTATGTAGGTACTAAAATGTTGGTTCCGTAAAAATTTCAAGCAGATAACTTGAAAAATGAAAAATCAAGGTCAATAAGTCCGGAGTCGGAGCTCGTCGGGGTTGAGATTGTCGGAGGTCGAGTCGAGTTCGATAAAGTCGTTTGGAGGCGGGTAACTGAATGGGGTCGAGGTCAAAACCACAATTAAAATATTTAAAATAAAACAAAAACCCCAAAGTAATCTGTCCGCAAATTTTGTCCGCAAGTTTTTTGCGGACATTTAAAATAAAATTTCTATTCGATATTTTCGTTAATCTTTAAAATAAAGTAAAATAATTTAAAAAAACCGATTAATTCAGTGCATAGATCAAGGACAAAATAAATATCGTTCTGCTCCAAAGCAGCATCACAAAGAGTGGTAGCCAATTTAGAATAATCATTTTCAGTCAAATTTCCAGAATTTTTTTGAAGAAAAGATTCTAAATAAAAAATAAATTGATAATTGGCTAAAATTTTTAAATAAATTTAAAAAATGGGGGGAATATTTTATTTTTGCGGACAATATTTGCGGACTTTTAGAAATTGAAGGAAAACTTAGGAAGGCTATGAATGTTAATGTAATCAATAAAGACATAGACTTATATTATTTCTAACCAGGGATGTTTCTAGTTACCTTAACTTTTCGATTAGAAAACCAAATTATCTGATATAACCTTTAATCCTATAAGCCCATAGTATTGGTCCGAAACCAGGGCAGAAAAAAATTTTATGACTCGACATAACTTTTTTCTCAGGCCGTGACTAATTCACTGATTCTAACCCTTCCAAAAAATTTTTATGGGAGCAAGTGTCATTCGGACTTGTGGACGTAGTCAAGGGAAAGGAAAGAAAGTGTGGTAATAGAGCGACTATATTCATGGAGGAGGATCGATTAACCAAAGGAAGCTAAAATAAAAGAATAGAAAGGCGAGGCCAACAACATCATAACAAGGGTAGATCAGGTACCCCAAAATTTAAAAAAAAATAAGAAAAGACTCACTAACATCCGCCAAAGAAACGCAAACCTCAGAATTTGACAAATTTAAAGACTCCAAAGCATCGTTAATATTATTGCATTCTTTAAAAGTTTCCGACTTTTTCTTTATTCCATTAAGACGAGGAGGGCGTGAAACAGATCTTTCCGGATCCAAAATTGATTGAATACTTCCAAGAAAACGTTTATCGCGGCTGTCTGTTTCTGCACTTCTTCTTGGCTTTGCCCTCTCATTTGACATTATTTTTGGTTGAAATTTGACGTGAAGAAATTAATAAAAATTCACAAGATGAGGAAAAGTCGAGAATAATGAAAGAACTGAAAAAATATTTTAAAAAATTAATTTGGCATAATGTTTTAATAAATGGGATAAAATGTCATTTTTGTCAAAGTGTCAACTATTAAAGAAAAAGACTTTCCCTCACGAAGCGTGACTAGTCAAGACTTAGATTTAAACAATTTTGGCTGGTTCTAGGTACCTTGTTAAGCAGTTTGAGTGTCCTAGATCGACGAAATACTAAATAAATTGATTTTTGGGAGAATTTAAGCCTGCCCATGTTTTTGGGAGTTTTCTATGAAATTTTCATTTTATTGACGCTTATGTTAACCTTTCCTAATTCTTTTTCATGTAATTTCAATAAACATCTAATCTTAGACAAAATTTGTTGATACACTGTCTCTTTTGTCCTTTAGATATTTTGAAGTTCCTTCTTGGTTGACAGTTTTTTTGAATTTAATTTAATGTTTGGCATAACGTTTATTTTGAGATAGTTGGTAGAAAAGAGTTAGAGATATTTTTTCTAAGCGGCGTTCATTTTTAAAATGTTTCCCAATTTGTTTTTCTACTTTTTCGTTTATTCATTGTTTTCCTTTTTATGTTTTTAGTTAACTTTTCGAACATTTTTGGATCATAATTGGATTAAGGACTGTTTCGAAACAAAAAATTCTTCGAAAATTGCAAGTCAAAAACCGAATTTCGAAACAGCTCTGCTAGGATTGTAAGTTTTAACAAATCAGATATAACAAGTCATATCAAAACACTCCATTAGTTCTGTATTTGCAGCCGAAAACCTTATTCAAAACAATTACATTTAACTTTAATTTTACATTTTTAGAGTTCTAAAATTTTCAAAAATTTATTTATTCTACTTCACTGCTCTTCTAAAAATGCTTGTTGCGATTTGAGATGTTATGAGGCGGATTGGTGCTTGATGTGACTGCATCAGATTTACGTCCTTCTGTGACGATCGATGAAATGAGGAATCAAGTGGTACAAGGTTTTTCTTTTATTTTTTTGGGTTTTGGGTAGAGTGAAGATTAGTTGTCCCTTGAAAGATGAGAAAAAGCGCTCTCGATTGTTTTTAGGTTTCTCAGCAAGTGATCGGGTTGCTGAGTCAGAATATGAGCTTAGAATTTATTGATTTTAACCCTGGACCCATTTTTAAACTAGCTATTTGACTCGTGATAGTTTATGTGAGCGAAACAATGAAACGTCAGAAGAATCAAACCCTGAAATGTTTTTTAAGTCTGGGATTTCAAATTATTAAATTCTGAGATCAGATTAAAGCTCATCACACTCGTTTCCTAATGGCAAACCTCAGAATATCGAAATAGCACTTTTTCTCACTTTTCCGTGAACGGGTATACCCGTTCCGATTTTTGAAATATGTGGGGCTGTTTTGTACTGGTTACTAGGGAGTATTCTATAAATGGGGCCTGCGTCGGTGCATCATTTACCCTCTTCTTTCATTTTCGGGGAAAGTTCTAAGGTAACCTGCTATCTCATTTTTAAATACTGCTCCTTATTTACGAGTCCCTTTGGTGGTTCCTATGTTATCCAAGGATCCGCACATTTCAGGCATGTCGAGCGGCCATCCACCAGTCATTTTTATAAGTATTTAATTTAAATCTGATAAACTCCCAAAATTCATACGTTAGTTTATGATCCCAGAATCAATAACAAGAATCCTCGACGCATTTCCCATGCTTGTATTTTTACGATCTTTAGGCATCTTGTATTGTTATACTTACATAAAAATTGCTTATAAGGCCGTAGCTAAGAATTTTTCAGAGAGTCTCTTGAAATTTTTTCTGGGATTATATTCAAAAATTATTTTTTACTTCTTTCTACTTTCTCAAATTTAGGTAATGTTGAGAGAAACTTCAAATGCTCTTTACTGTAACTACGCAACATCAATTGCTTTCTGCGCAGCTGACGGTGGTATTTTGCAAGTTTTAGTTATATTTTTTGGGTTAATATTGAAAAAATGAGTTGGGGGTCCCTTAGTAATTTTGTGGGATGAGATTCGAAAGTTGAATTTAAATTTATGTTAATACGTTTAATTTGTTAGTAAACGTTCCAAAATCTGGTATTATGTGTTCCACTTACTAGTGAGGATTGCCGGTCCCTAGAAAAAATGGTAACTGCTTTTTCGATATTTTTGAGATTTTCCAGTAGGTGATTGAGTATGCCGAGTCCAAATCTGAGCTCCCGGACCAGAATTCGATCAAGTCAAAAGCGGTTTTAAATTCGAAAATTAAAATTGTAGTGCTGTTTCGACACCTTTCAAAGAAATTCTGATGATTGATTTTGTATAAAGGAGTTTTTATCTTTTATTCCAAAAGTTGTATTTAATTGATCATACTTTCGTTTAATGTTATCGTCACAATTAATCTGGATACCATTCAACTCAACTCTAAATAAGAATGGCTTTAGTATCTTAATTTCAGATTTTTAACCCGAATTCTACTTGGTCGAATTCGGGTCGATTACCACCACAAGCATATACGCAATATCAAAAACGCGCTTTCTACTTATTTTTTCTATAGATCAGTAATTTTCACTATTCCGGTTTTTGTCTAATTTTTTGGGCTTATCTAATTGCGAAGTGATGATCCTTTTTCTTGAAAAATGATTTTAAGCCGAGTTATGGTCAGTCAAAGTTTGCGTCTTGGGTGTTTAAATGGCTCCCCCATATCTTGCCAAATTCATAACTTGCCAAACCCATATCTTGCCAATAGGGGCAAAAATCCATATCTTGCCAACTGCATATCTTGCCAAACCCATATCTTGCCAATAATACTAAAATCCCATATCTTGCCAATAAGGGCAAAATCCTTAAAACTTGCCAATAAAAGTAAATGAGGTAGGGGTCAGTTGAGTACCAGACGGTTGAGTATTTTTCCGGAAACTATTCCGGAATCTTTTTTCCGGACGACATTTTTCCGGAAACTATTCCGGACTACACTTCTGGAAGATATTTTTCCGGAAACCATTTCCGGAATCATTTTAACGGATTGGCAAGTTATTGGTAAGTTTTAAGGCAATTTTTAAGTTTATTGGCAAGTTTTAAAGATTTTGCCCTTATTGGCAAGATATGGGATTTTAGTATTATTGGCAAGATATGGGTTTTGAGCCTTATTGGCAAGATATGGGTTTGGCAAGATATGAATGGGCAGGATATGCATTTTTGCCCCTGTTGGCAAGATATGGAATTTTGCCCTTATTGGCAAGATATGGGTTTCTAGCCCTCTTGGCAAGTTATGAAATTGGCAAGATATGCGGGCACGGTTTAAATATAATGAAGGTGAAAATGCACTATTTATTTTTTCCTTCTCTCTGCTTCCTGCACATTGATTTATATTGGAGAGAAAGGAATGCATTAGTTGTGAAGAATTAAAAAAGCAAAGAAAAAAAGCAGACACAAAAAACGAAGAGAAAATGGGCGGGCGGGTTATTTTGAGTATTAAAAAGTATTAAAAAGTTTTTTGTGAAGAAATTTAACGGAGTGGAAATGGGAAGGACTTAAATGCCAGGAAAGGTTTGTTCCGCGGGGATGGTTTAAAATTTATGAAAAAGAGAACAAATTTAATAATCATAAGAGAAAAACATAGGGCAAATTAGGAAAATACTTTAAAAAGCTGGAATTACCCGGGCTGTTCCACATTAGCAGAGCTGTAATCTTTGAATTTAAATTAGGGTAAATATTTGAAACATTTTTTTTTCTGAAATATTATCGGAAACATTTTATAGGTTTTAGTTTTTAAGGGAATCGGGGTTAACTTATCTTTACTTGGGCTAGAACAAATTTCTAGTTTTTTTTATCTGGGAGGATTTTCGATTTTGTTTAAATAGAGGTCTCCTTCCTTTTCCACTTATAAAGATTAAAAATGGAATAAGGAAAAAGACTAGGAGGTAACTTGGGTTGGCTGGGTGTGTTTCTTTTCATTGCAGAATGACTTAGGTTGAACAATAAGGAACATAACTAAATTTCGAACAACTAACTGAGGCAGTTCCTTTAGGTGACAGTTCTTTGCTTTAAACAATTACCCAGGCTGCCACTGGGTAATTATTGCCAAATATATAGGACTCAGTGGCCCCAGTGGTAGCCTGGATAATCATTTAGAGGATCTAGATTAAATATTTTTTTAGATTTCGTCTTGTAAATTGTCGCCGTGAAATTAATTCATAATAACAAAATGACGACATCTTGAGGACCGACGCACGGGAAATATGTTGACAAAGGAGCTATATTTTTGGTATAATTTAAATGGGAGATCAGATTTAAATCTATATTATAAATATTTTTGTATTTTAGATGTTAGTGCGTGATTGTCTGGTCTTAGTAAAAATATCATAACGTTGGATTTATCGGAAAGGATCCATATAAAAGTCAGAAAATTTCAATACATAATTCAATACAAATAAATACACATACAAATACATGAATTTTAATACATAAAACAATAGAAATAAATACACATACAAGAATAAATATACAATCAATACTAAATTTCAATACATACAATCGATACATGAATTTTAATACATAATCATTACATATATCAATACAAATAAAATACATATACAAAAATATTTAAATGAAATGATAATAAATATTGTCAAGGAGGAGTTATATCTTGAGCTTCATAATCCGTTTAGCAAATTCTGGTCTTAAAAATCACATTTTGTTACTGTGCGAAGGGGTCATGCCCAAATTTTTCAAAAATTGTTTCAAAAATTCACTACTATTAAATTACTAATACTATTTAAACAACCACTTTTATTAATTCTACGACCACTTTACTTTCTTTCTTACTTAATTCTCTTTCCATTTATTTTTCTCATGATGGCGCATAGCTTGGGGTTGCATTTGGGCCATTTCTCTTTTCGCCTCGACTCATATTATTATAAAAGTGGTTGTTTGTTGAGTACAATTGTAAAAGTGGCTGAGTGCTGGCGGAAATGGAAAATAAAGTGGCTGTTGCTGAGGAAAATTGAAAGGAAAAATGTATAGGAATATAAATAATTCTCGATTTAGCAGATTTCAAGTCCTTCCGGGTTACTTGGTGCCTTCTTATGTAAATTCTAATCGTCCAATCAACACGTTTATGCTACAATCTGAAGACTCAAATGTGCTACTATTTTCAACCGTTTAAAATCGATTTGTCATCGTTTTAAAGTGTTCTGATGATGATAACTGATATGCTTGGTCATGGACAGCCAGGCGATTTAAATCTTCGCGATTTGGTGTTGACCTGGGGGCAGCTTTGCAGTAATATATTAACATGAATGGGATTTGACAAAATTCCTAGTTGAAAAATGCTTAACGGTTGAATCTCGATGAAAGAGAAAAATGTGAGACTAAATGTAGCCTTTTGGCTGATTGGTGAAGTAAAAAGTTGAGATTTTGTGTTGAGACGAAGCGTCCTCGTCGAAGGATCTGAATTTTATGCAATTCATTGCTGAATTGGCAAGATGAGCAATCGGTCGGTTCGGTACACTCTTTTGAGTGTTCGTAAAGCCAGCAAGTGACCCGAGATTGGTTGTGAGACCAAATCTGTCTCGCCTCGTGATCGTTCTGGCGCCGACGGTGTTTGTATGTTATCGTGCAGCTATTGCTTTTTGGGTAAAATTTATAGAATTCAGATTTCGTGAGTGAATTTTACCTGGATTACGAGATATCTGGTTGATCCTGCCTGAACTGATGTGTTCATTTCAAAGATTAAGCCATGCATGTATAAGTTTAATCGTTTTAACGAGAAACCGCGAACGGCTCATTACAATGGCCATGATTTACTTGATCTTGATTATCTAAATGGATAACTGTGGAAAAGCTAGAGCTAATACATGCACCAAAGCTTTGTCCTCTCGGAAAAGCGCATTTATTAGAACAAAACCACGCGGCTTCGGCTGCTTCTTGTTGACTCAGAATAACTAAGCTGACCGCATGGCCTTGTGCCGGCGGCGTGTCTTTCAAGCGTCCACTTTATCAACTTGATGGGAGCATAATCGACTCCCGTGGTGGTGACGGATAACGGAGGATCAGGGTTCGACTCCGGAGAAGGGGCCTGAGAAATGGCCACTACGTCTAAGGATGGCAGCAGGCGCGCAAATTACCCACTCTCGGCTCGAGGAGGTAGTGACGAGAAATAACGAGATCGTTCTCTTTGAGGCCGGTCATCGGAATGGGTACAATTTAAACCCTTTAACGAGTATCAAGCAGAGGGCAAGTCTGGTGCCAGCAGCCGCGGTAATTCCAGCTCTGCTAATACATAGAATTATTGCTGCGGTTAAAAAGCTCGTAGTTGGATTCGTATCGGTACCCTGGAACCCTCCGGGTGTTTCTGGGTGTTATCGATTTATCGTAATGTTCGGTTTTGAGTCCTTAACAGGATTCTTAACAGGCATTGCAAGTTTACTTTGAACAAATCAGAGTGCTTCAAACAGGCGTTTTCGCTTGAATGATCGTGCATGGAATAATAGAAAACGATTTCGGTTCAGTTTTATTGGTTTTACGGACTGAGATAATGGTTAACAGAGACAAACGGGGGCATTTGTATGGCCCCGTGAGAGGTGAAATTCTTGGACCGTGGCCAGACAAACTACAGCGAAAGCATTTGCCAAGAATGTCTTCATTAATCAAGAACGAAAGTCAGAGGTTCGAAGGCGATCAGATACCGCCCTAGTTCTGACCGTAAACGATGCCAACTAGCGATCCGCCGATGGAAATTATATTGCCTTGGTGGGGAGCTTCCCGGAAACGAAAGTCTTCCGGTTCCGGGGGAAGTATGGTTGCAAAGCTGAAACTTAAAGGAATTGACGGAAGGGCACCACCAGGAGTGGAGCCTGCGGCTTAATTTGACTCAACACGGGGAAACTCACCCGGCCCGGACACTGTGAGGATTGACAGATTGATAGCTTTTTCATGATTCAGTGGATGGTGGTGCATGGCCGTTCTTAGTTCGTGGAGTGATTTGTCTGGTTTATTCCGATAACGAGCGAGACTCTAACCTACTAAATAGCTGGTACATACTCTTTGTGTATACAGCTTCTTAGAGGGATTTGCGGTGTTCAGCCGAAAGAAATTGAGCAATAACAGGTCTGTGATGCCCTTAGATGTCCGGGGCTGCACGCGCGCTACACTGGCAAAATCAACGTGCTTGTCCTACCCCGAAAGGGGCGGGTAAACCATTGAAAATTTGCCGTGATTGGGATCGGAAATTGCAATTATTTTCCGTGAACGAGGAATTCCAAGTAAGTGCGAGTCATCAGCTCGCGTTGATTACGTCCCTGCCCTTTGTACACACCGCCCGTCGCTGCCCGGGACTGAGCCATTTCGAGAAATTTGGGGACCGTTGATTTAATTTTTCTAAATTACTTTGATGGAAACCAATTTAATCGCAGTGGCTTGAACCGGGCAAAAGTCGTAACAAGGTAGCTGTAGGTGAACCTGCTGCTGGATCATTACTTTATGTGATGTTCAAATTTGAATTCGCAACATTGTTGTGAAACGGCTGTCGCTGGTGTCTAGGTGTTGCTGATACAGTTGTGAACGTCCGTGGCTGTATATGTGGTGACATGTTAGGACTCTTTAATGAGTTTAAGACTTAATGAGCCTCTTAAGTGAGGACGACAGCACTCTTTTTTTCTCTATATTTAAAAAAAACGAAAATTTCTAGCCTTATCGGTGGATCACTCGGCTCGTGGATCGATGAAGAACGCAGCAAACTGCGATAATTTGTGCGAACTGCAGAAACCTTGAGCACAAAAGTTTTGAACGCATATTGCCGCATTGGGGTCAAACCCTTTGCTACGTCTGGTTCAGGGTCATTTTCTTCTAAAGCGAAAGCTTTTAATATATATCGCTTTTTACGCTTTATATTTTAGAACGATTGTTGCCGATATTTTATTGACTTTATTTTGTCATCAACAATATTTATTTTTTGACCTGAACTCAGTCTAGAGCACCCGCTGAACTTAAGCATATCAGTAAGCGGAGGAGAAGAAACTAAACAGGATTCCCCCAGTAACGGCGAGTGAACAGGGAAATGTCCATCGCTAAATCATTTTGCCTAAGGCATTATGAGGTGTAGCGTATAAGCCGTAATCTTTGATCTTTTGTCTCAAACAAGTCCCCTTGACAGGGGTTCCGCAGAAGGTGCAAGTCCTGTACATTGAGATAATTGATTGATATTTGCGTGCTTTAGAGTCGGGTTGTTTGGGATCGCAGCCCAAAGTCGGTGGTAAACTTCATCTAAGACTCAATATTGCCACGAGACCGATAGCAAACAAGTACTGTGAAGGAAAGTTGCAAAGCACTTTGAAGAGAGAGTTAAAGAGGACGTGAAACCGGTGAGGTGGAAACGGATAGAGTCGGCGTATCTTTCAAGTATTCATTTACATTATTTTTATGTTGTGATCTCTGAGCTCCAGATTGGGACAGAGGGAAGCAGTATAATTTTCTGTGATGCATTTACTTGTTTGGTGCTTGGGGATGTTTGAGGCAGATTTGTAACCGCCGTTTTGAGGCCAGCTTGCTGGTACCCAAACGGTGTTAGCATTTTTTGTCTTGGACATTTGAGTATGGTTTACGGGCATTTATTGGTTCGATCTGAGTGTAAGTTACGGTCGCATGCGACACGTGCTTTTCAATTAGTTCGGTCCAGTTAATGCTCTCGTACTCCTTCCCCATGTAAAAGCCGGTCATCTATCCGACCCGTCTTGAAACACGGACCAAGGAGTTTATCGTGTGCGCAAGTTTTTGGGTGTTAAAAACCTAAAAGCGAAATGAAAGTAAATGACTCTTTAGAGTCTGATGTGCGATCTTGTAAAAAAGTGCAGCATGGCCCCATTCTAACTGTTTACAGTAGGGTGGCGGAAGAGCGTACGCGGTGAGACCCGAAAGATGGTGAACTATTCCTGAGCAGGACGAAGCCAGAGGAAACTCTGGTGGAAGTCCGAAGCGGTTCTGACGTGCAAATCGATCGTCTGACTTGGGTATAGGGGCGAAAGACTAATCGAACCATCTAGTAGCTGGTTCCCTCTGAAGTTTCCCCCAGGATAGCTGGAGCTCACGAGTAGTTATACTCGGTAAAGCGAATGATTAGAGGACTTGGGAACGAAATGTTCTTAACCTATTCTCAAACTCTAAATGGGTATGATGTCAAAGTTGCTTGATTTTGAACTTTGGCGTTGAATACGAGCTCCAAGTGGGCCATTTTTGGTAAGCAGAACTGGCGATGTGGGATGAACCAAACGCGGAGTTGCGGTGCCAAAGTGCCCGCTCATTAGACCCCATAAAAGGTGTTGGTTGATACAGACAGCAGGACGGTGGCCATGGAAGTCGGAATCCGCTAAGGAGTGTGTAACAACTCACCTGCCGAATCAACTAGCCCTGAAAATGGATGGCGCTGGAGCGGGCCACCTATACTCTGCCGTCATATGCTTGTATTCCGTGAAGAGTCTGGCAATGACGTGTAAGAGGGTCGTAGTGGTTGCAGTAGTATATGTTACACTTTTAAGACAAAAATTTTTTCTTTTTTGTCTTAAAAGCGCACAAAAATTTCTACGATTATTTTTCAATAGGTTTAAGGGGTTTTAAAAATTAAACAATCGTTGCTTAACTTGCCAGATCGGACGGGTGGGCACATTTACAAACCAGCACGCACGTATTCATAAGATGTGTAAAATTTCAATATAAGATAAAATTAATTCTAAGCCAATTAAAAGAGCAAAAAGGTTACATAATTTTTGAAGAAAAGTAATTATAGTAAAAATATTTTTACGGAAAAAAATAAATTAAAGATAAAAAAGTGATTATTAATTGCTAACGTTTTTACAAGTTAATCGGTATTAATCTACGTCCAAAGTATAATGTTAGCTTCGTTACCCCGATAACAAGGGATTTAGTAGCTACAGCAATGTCATAGCAAGTTTCTTTTACGAATACCCATGCGGTATCGAACATACTTGGTTTATAATACACTACAGAAAAAGTAGGTTTGTATATTTGTTTCCACTTTTTTTCGTTCTCATCGTATTCAAACCAAACATGACCACTCGGTTTTAAGGTTGTAAAATTTGAATGAGATTCTAAGGCAGGGCGTAAAGTATTCTCAAAAGTTTGTGGTTTAGGAGTTCTTCGAAAAAAAGATATTTTGTTCTCTTCGTTCTTTATTATTTTATTTTCACAATAAACTATTTCTACTATTGCAACAAAAATTAATATAAAAAGCATTTTTGATATTACGCAAATAATGTGAATGATCATTTATATAGTTTTTTATAAATTTCTATTCATTTTTGTTCTTCAACCTCAACAAAGTCCAAACACTCCAAAGGATAGAAATATTGATGCTGTCGTCCGCCAATAACGCAAACAAGAGGCAGCTGTGGATAAACAAGGTCTATGTGATGTCGAACATAGAAATATTGCCTAATTGTCACACGTAAGTATCCTCGTAATGCAAAAAGACGATCCGCGCCCATCTTAGTCAATTTACTTGGATATACTTCGAACTGAATATGTCTTAAATGATTTGTTACTATAGCCTTCTTTCCCGGCTTCATAGTGTTGTCAGAAAATGTTTTTTGACCAATTCCATTCATGGCAACATCTTCATTTGTCATAGTAGTAAGTGATTGAAGGAATTGAATATTTTCGTTGTATTTTTTACGCATTTCCCTGTGAAGGGACTCTGGTGCACATCCTCCATTAAATTTACAAAGTAATTGAAGTAACGAACCAGTTTTGACGCGCAGATGAGGCGGAGGGGATTTTGATGAAAATTTAACAGGTTCTCTAAATTCTGACATATTAGCACTAGTACGCATGTTCATATCCCTGGTAAAATTTATCTCTATAAGCTTATTTCTCTTGGCTTATATACCAAGAGGCCCTTTCGCAAACCTCATTCCAGGGAGTTCTCCGTTTCCATTTCTTCTCAAATTTACATGTGCTTTAAACACTACAGCCAAAACAAAAATTAGTAACAAATCGAGGACATAAGCGATTAATAAAAACATATCTTTATTAGGATTTCCTGAAGGACCGATTGAAAGCGCATGAGCTTCATCAATAATAAAACAGGCATTCACATTTGGAGGGTATGGGCCATGAATCGGATAAAGTATATTACTATCATTTTGTTTAAAAGCCCAGGTGAGACCGATTAAGGAAATTAGATATAGAGTAAAAATCATTTTTGCTTATATTATTACTAATAGTAGTATTCTTATATACTAGGGACCATGGCTAATCTTTGGACGAATCTCTTTATAACTGCATCACGACTTTCTGAAGGTATTGAGTGCAGTTTCCTAAGTGTGGAAGAAAAACTACTTTTTTGTTTTGAACGGTTTACAAGGAAACAGATGCAATAATGCCCACATGTATCAGATAATGGAGATTGAATAGAATAACGGCTTTGTTTAACTATTTTAAAGCGATTTAGCATAGATTGACGCATATCACAGTTAGGGGGGTCTCCGAGCGAGTCAAAGTATTCCAATGTGTTTTTTCTATCTGAATAACAAGCAATCCAGTGTTCCCCTACAGTTCCTTTCTTCATAGTATTTGCAATAAAGCAAAAAGGGCTATTCCATTCTATATTTGGAATAGTATTAGATGAAAAAACACCCAGAAATTTATTTTTAAGCGGAGTATAGCGGCTTAATATAGTTTCAATTTGCAGAGAATTCATCTTAAACAGATCCATCCGTACTTAAAACGCGATCTGCATTTATGGACAGAACCGAATCGAACTCACCCATAATTATCATTTCATAACCTTCGTCTTTGATTGGCTGATTAAAAATACAACGGATAGTCGTAGTTCCTTGCCTGATTAACTCTAGTCCGTTCGTGTCCTCTAGTGTTGAAGTCATCGGTATAACAAAGAAACAGGAGGATTTAGAAAATTCTCTCATACTGATATCGAGAGTTCTCTGGTCAGTGTTTGGCCAATTATCGATGTCCATACCTACAAACATATCAACATAAGCGCGAACAAAGTTATTATCAGCAAAATCAAAATCATACGAAACAGCAGGAAATTGGAATCCACCAAATTCTGCAGAGACAGAGCGCAAGTTTGCGTGCTCAAAAGTGAAAGGCGATAAAGAACTATTTCCCGTGAATGCAGGAGAGCTAACAAAACAGATTATTAAGCGTCTCGGACAAGTACTTGTGAACGCCGCATGAGTAATTTCTTGACGTCCTTTTCCCAGGAAAACACTACGGATATCAATTTTTCTAAAAGCATACTTTGCAGGTGTTTGTTCTAAATGTCTAGCAATAGCATTATTTAAAGACATACTCAGATCAACTTGTTTTATTAAAATTCTCATGTCGTGAAGCCTAAGTCGGTAAGTATGCGTGTTTTCTACTAATGCTGCAGTGCTGCGGAATTTTGGAGTATGAATAAGAAATTCATCAGAATTTCTGTAAATGGTCCAGATCACGTCACTTTGTGGAATTAAGAGCTGGTTCTGTCTAGCCATGTCATAATCTAAATGGGAAAACATTCTACATAATTTACCTTTGGCAAAACGAGAAACTCGAGATTTAAAGCCAGAGCCCTCGGAATCATCCTTATCCACTGCGTCTTTATAATAAAGCGCCGCTTCATATAGGCCCTTACTTACTTCTTTATCGGCGCCAAGTTCATGCAGAATTATACATCGGTATGCATAGTGGATGCCAGAATCATAGCACTGAACCCCATTAATTGAAAGTGTAAGGCGACGAATCCATGTAAGCCCTAAATATTGAGCAACCCCTGTAAATTTATCTCCTTTTAACTCGGCAGCTTCACCGTCTGTGATAGGAACCCACTCACCACTAGTCGTATCTTTTCTTTCAAGAGATAAAACCAAACTTAGAAAAGTTTTGCTCAAATCAAGATAGAGCGAATCACCAAAATATCGAAAAACAAACGGTCCTGCAGATTGGTTGAGAGCATTAAGAGGTAGTATTTCTTTGTATGCCGAACGCTGTATACCGACATTTGTAGAGGGTATAGAAAAGAAGGTCAGGCGATTATCAACCCCTTCGGAACTATCTTTATCAATTTTCTTTAATGTGGTCATTTTTACTTAGAAAGAATTTGTAATTATGCTATACTTATATACTCAGAAATTTTCTAAACTAAGTTGATCTCTATGGCGCCGTCCTTTTTTCTCTAGACTTTCTGTAATAAGTTTTGGCTTGCGTTTCCTTTTACCTTTTCCGCATTGCTGGAGCTTTTTCCCAACTTTTTGAAGACCTTCGCTACCATGTTGCTTCAAGGCATCACTAACTGATCGCCCTTGTGAAACATCTTCAAGCACATTTTTACCAACGTTGATTGCTTCTTGGCCTGCACTAGAAGCTAAATTTTTAACTATTGGCATTAGAAAACGCCCGACAGTACTGAGCACTCCAAAACCTCGTTGATACCTTGTTCCCTGAAAATATCGACTTTCATCCGTTATATCGGTTTTTGCCCCACCATCTTGAGCTGCTAGAAAAGGACCCCAGTCTATTTTATCTAGATCTACGGGTACATGTGTCATTTTTAAAATAGAGAGCGTTGAAAATGTAGTGTTAGTATACAGGTTCCCCAATGGAATTTTACTAGTTTTCCTGCTAGGGTACGAATTTCAATAGTAATGTCTGGATGACGTTTACCTAATATACGATGTTGATGTTCGGTCATATATACTTCGGAAATACTATCACCAGGCTTACCAGTGAGATTCACAACACGTAATAGAGGAGCAGTTACGTTTCCAATTATACTATTTTCAACGAGCCTTGGAGCGTAAACCAAAAATTGCCGCACGCCCCCAGATATATCAGGCATATACTTTGCCACTTGTCCACTATGAACTTTCTCAGAATCAAAACCAAGAGTATATGCTAATTGACGACTTAATTGAATATATTGCACATTTCCTTGTAAGAAGACATGGAACCTCTTATGCAATTTATCGAAGTGTACTGAAACCCATTGATATTTTGGATCGGCTAGTTGTATATTGGAAAAGCTAAGAAGCATTTTTAGATATTCAGGAGGATAGCCATATTTAGCAAAATGCATTTTCTTTACATTAGGATCCGAATCATCAACTCTTATTGTTAACTTTTCTTTGTGAGGTTCTGCTTTTTCCTTTTGGCCTGGAAGCTCTTTAGGTTTTGTTTTGTCTTCGCTTGACACACCGCCAAGTCCAAAGAAGCTTTTCCATGAGGAGGGATGGTGAGGAGGCTCTCCAATTAACATTTCAGGACGGGGAAGAGAAGGCCGCTCCTCTGTATGAATTATTTCATCTACTTTAGGCTGCACAATATTTTCAAGTAAATTTGCGGTTGAGGGCGGAATACTTAAAGGGTCTTCTTCTGCTAATGGAGGTGCCCATTGCTCATCCTTATCGTAAATTGTTTGTGATTCCTGCAGAGTCTCTTCGCTTGTATCAATTTCTTCTGTTTCTTCTTCGATAATCGTTGGTTCATCGTTCGCCTCAATATTTTCTTCAATATTTTTTTCTTCTGGTAATGGTGGTGTCCATTGCTCTTCGTCCTCATCGCTTATTGGTTGCGATTCCTGCGGAGGCTCTTCTCTTGTATCATCTTCTTCAGTATCTTCTACTGTTTCTTCATGTAACTCATTACTTTCTTCTGGTAATGGAGCTTCCCATTGCTCTTCATCATCATCGGTTATTGTTTGTAATTCATGTTGTGTATCTTCTTGCTTATCTTCTTCCGCAGTACCTTCTTCGATAATCGTTGGTTCTTCGTTCGCCTCAATATTTTCTTCAATATTTTCTTCTTCTGGTAATGGAGGTGTCCACTCTTCCTCGTCCTCATCGTCGTCAGAGGGTATTTCATTATCATCATGCTCCTCAATATTTTCCTCGATATTTTCCTCTGGTAATTTTTCATTTTCATCTTCAATATTTGAAGATACAGGAAATAACGAAGCATCTTCTTTCGCAAGTTCTACGTCAACTTTACCAATAATTTCTTCTGATAAACGTTTTTGCCCTGCAACAGCTTCTTCAACCTGACTAGCTGCTTCCTTTACCTTACGTTCTGCGGCCTTAGCACGATCTGCAGCTTTTCTTGCTTCTGAAACATCACCGCGGGTTTCTGCAGCTTTAGTCTCTAGTTGTGCTTCCGAAGCTCTTTTTCCATACTCTAAACATTCCTGTGTCCATTTATCAATTGAAATTTTACGATTAGTTAACAATATTAATTGAGATTTAACCCATTCAATAATATTTTCAGGTGTTTTTCTTAAGTGTACAGTTTCGCCCGTTTCTTTTAATGTAACCACACTATCTTTAAGCGCATACTTAAAGCGCGCATTCTGCCAATATTTTTCACCAAGTTCCATATTTATTTGCGCTTGCTCTGCCAACTCTACACTATTTCTCCATGCTCTTGTAGCTGCACGAACGGCCATTTCCATTAAAACTTTTTGATCATCAGTTAATAATGGCTTTTCATCAGGCTCCTCTACATATGAAAGGGGTGTTATTTTCCCATCTAAAGGAGTTTTGTCATTAGATTCAAGCTGTTTTTCTACAGGTGTTGTTACAGGAGTCTCAGGAGCAGGAGAAATTTCGATTATAGGGCTTGTCGCTTGAGTGGGCGGAGCTTCGATTATAGGGCTTGTCGCTGGAGTGGACGGAGCTTCAATTATAGGATTGGTTACTGCTGTAGCCGGAGCGATTGGAGGTTTTATAATAGAAAGATCATCCTCATGAGCATTTGTAGGCGCAGTCTCTGAAAGTTTTTCAATTTCATTAGAATGTTCTTGATCATTTTCAACAAAACTTTCTTCTACAGAATCCGTTGTTTCTGATTGTTGAATAGGCTCAGGCACGATTGGAGAATTGGACATAAAGCTTTTAATTGCATTCATTATTAGATCCTTCTGATCAGTTTTTGGCTCTAATCTAACCGTCTCAACAGAGCTTCCAGCAACCGTAGATACATTTGGGAGTTTTGCGCCCTTAATTTCCGTATTTAAATATTTTATAAATTTATAAGCACGGTCCTTTGGCATATCAAAATAATCTTCATTTTTCAATTGTTGAGTGATAGTCTCTAGCGAGAAATCAACCTGCAGATTCTCATGCTCAACCGCTGTTTGTGGAGTTGATTCAGATTCGATGGCCTCAGTTTGATTAACACTCGATGGATTCATAAATTCTGTAATAGCCTGTTTGATTCGCTCCATTTGATCGGTATACGGACGAAACCGAACCCTTTCTATACCATCAGCTGCAAGAGGGGCAGGGCTTATAGGGGGTAATAGAATTCCTTTTTTACCTAAAAATTTCATGTAATTAAAAGAGGTTTGCTTTTGCATATCGAAATAGCCATTCTTAGCCAATTGCTCAGTAGGTTCTAAGGGTTGTTGTGAAAGAATAAATTTATCAATAACTTTTAAGTAAAGAGATTTTTGATTTACAGGAGGCAAAAGACGAATATTTTTACCGCTTTCTCCTGGCCTCAAATTTGAAAGTTTTGGACTAATTGCCTCATCCTCTTCAGATAATAGCTTGATAAATTTATTGAGTTCATTTGTATAAAGATCGAAATAACCATGTTTATCATACTGTTCTTTTATAGATTCGACAGAACGCCTTTTACGAAAATTCCCATAAATTCTTTTTTTATTCTCTTCAAGCCTCTGTTCCTCTCGTTCGCGATCCAATTCCTTTTTCCATACATCAAGCAAAACTGCATTAATAGCCTCTTCTAATGCCTCTTCTGAGGCAAAGGACAAATCTGGTATCTCGATACGAATTGGTAAAAGTTCATTTCCGTATCTTCGAAAAACGGTTATTGATTCTTGTTCTTCGGAATCTCCAGCCAATGAAAAAGAAAACGGATATATAATATTAGATAGTGCAACAGTCCAACTTGAATCCAATTCAAGAGTATCAGGCATTCGAACAGTAAATTTAGAAGTGGTATTTCCTTCAACCCCTCCTGTATTTGAGGGCAATATCACATAAAAAGAGTCCATATTTATCTTCTAACAATATCGCTATCGTTAATCCAACTATTAAAATTATCGTTATATCCTATCCAACGAACAAAATGTTGCTTAATCCCTGCACGTATACGGGTTTTTAAAATTTCAGCAATACGGTGAGTTGTATCTTCTTGTGTGGGTACCAATTCTTCTCTATAAAATATCCCTTCAATTAAATTTCCTTCAAAATCTTTTAACTTATATGTAATGGGCGATCTATTGGCGTTTTTAATATGTACGCGAAACAATTCGTCAGTGTAGTTGGGTAAATATCCCTTTTCAAATTTCCCTTTTTCTTTAGTGATACGAACAATTTGTCCTGGCTCGAGTATTGAGCTTGTTTTAGTATTTTGTAAATTTTTAGGATCCTTATATAGTCTGTTAAAAAGTTCCCCAGCATTCTTAAACGTAACAGAATTTGGAGTTACACCCGTGCTTCGATTAATACTTGCATTTATTCCTGAAACAATTTTTTTAATAACATCTATCCAACGCAAGGTGTTCTTTTCGCTAAAATATCTGTACAATCGCTCTTTGATAGTACGGTTGGCCCTTTCTGCCATTGAAGCATGCACATCTGGACTATAAACTACTCGTTTATCTATATCCTTCTTTTTAAAATATTCCTTCATACGTTTCGCCTCAAACTCTAACCCTCGATCCGTATATAATTTATGAGGAAGTATCCCTTTTGAAAGTTTAAAAATATTTTCGAACGCATCAATCATATCCTCAGAACTCTTAGATTTCGCAGGCACCGCAAAAATTTTTCTACTTAGTACATCAATACAAACCAAAAGATATTTGTACCCATCATTATGTTCAGTTAATTGGTCAAAGATTGCCAAATCCGCTTGCCAATCTGTGTGCAAACCGCTTGGTATAGTGGCCATTCTAGGAAACTTTTTTCTTAGAGGCCTATGCATTGTGTACACTCTTTGCTTATGAAGAAAATCATAAACATATTGAAATTTTATTTTTGGGTATTTACGACGCGCTTCTTCATAGACCCGATTTATTCCAGCATAGGAGGCGGGTGAATTAAGTGAATAATATATTTTTTCTAAGAAGGTATCTAAAGCTTTTCCCATATTTGTGGAATAAATTTATTTTTTCTTCTTACTAATCCTGGTGAATTTATAGGCAAGACTTTAACTAAAACTCTTTTTCTTCTTTTCCCGCTGCCTGATTGATTATCAGTTGAACTACCTTCATTAGTACTTTCTCCACGCGTCTCTTTAATCATTTCTTTCACTAATGGGTCCTTAGAAAGACGGTTAAATAGAAAACTGAAACCTTTTGGGGGAGATGATGTCTCGCCCTTTACATATTCGAGAACATCTGTGAAATTACTATTCTTTACAAGTCTTCCAGGGACATTAGACTCGAAACTCCCGTTCTTACTTATTCTGAATTTTTCTGCGTTATCTTTTACATAATTATCCAATTCTGTGGAATAGCGTGTTGCAATAATACCCTTGAATTTGGAAAAAGGAATTGCACTTTTTCTTTTTGCTCGCGGCAACTTAGGAGTCACTTCTGATTCAGACGGGTATTCGCTGTTGGAATATGTTTGAATTTTGCTGGGAATTAACTTTGGTTTTGGTGTATTAGTGATGTTTTCCTGCAAGTATGGTGCAACTTCTGGAGAAGGTTTCCCTTCATCGATAATAACTTTTTGTGGGCGATTTTCCAACTCATTTTTGAGCTGACGCCTCTTCTTATATAACCAATTATATTTCTTTGCTTTTAAATCTTCCGAAATTTTTGGGTTATCGAGGGTTTTCATAATATCTACATCTGTTTGTGTCTTCTCTTTTTGTATAAAGTCACCACCTTTAATCATGCCTAAAAGCGTAAGATATTCGCTCTCAGGCACCATAATCATTTTCTTTGTATGTTTCATTCCTGAGAGAATTTATGAATAATGTGTTCAGCTAAAGCTCCTAAGACGGGTATAAGTATTGCAGCTAAAGCAGCACTACCTCCTTGCTGGATTCGATTTCTGGCACTTTTTTCAGTACGCGTTCGTGCGATTGCTCTGTAAAAGTCAGCAAATTGAGCTAATTTCTTGCGCTGTCTCCTACTTAGAGTAAAATTATTTTTTAAAATATTAGCACAAATTTCAACAATCGCTAAAATTTTATCTGCGCTTGCTGATAGAATAAGCGCGTTTTTCTTTTTATCTGAAGTAGTTTTTGATAATTGTTGAAGAAACTCAAAATTATCCTTAACGTATGGGCTATAGTTATACGTGGGCATTTGTAATTTAATAATGTTTTGAGTACTTATATATTATAGCGGCAAATATATAGTAGTTTTTTCTCCAGGAAATATTTTTGTAGATAGTCTCATATTTTCATCAGTGCTAGGATGCATGTTTATCAATAAATATGAAAAACGTTCCGATGTTGCATCTCGATAGGCTTCAAGAAAATAATTAAGCATTTTTGGGAAAAGTTGCGAGCCGAGTGTCCGTACTTGCAGAAGGCCTTGAGGGTTTTTTGTTAAAAGAATGTAATGGGCATTTGCTCTTGCAGTCTTTATATCTCGTCCATATAGGGATTGAGTTACAAAAATCACGCTTACTCCCCAATTGTGTGAACCACGAGTAAAAAGTAAATCTAGAAAATCATTTGGAATATTAAGCATTAAGTCATCTAGAACTAAAAGCTGATGCTGCTTAATTAGTTCAGATTCAGGAACCCCATTATAAGTAGTGATTCCCATTTCCTTGAGCTTAAAAACAGTTTCATTCATTTCTCCAAAACAATACAAAATTTTTGAAGGTGGAGGATCTATGAGTTGGTCAGTGTGTGACAGGAATTTTAATAACCATTGGGTTTTGCCACTCCCTGTGGCACCCGAAATTATCATAGTGAATGGAGATATAAACATTTTTATTTAATTATAAATTTTTTAAATTATTTATATAGGACCTTAAATATGTATCAAAAAGCAATTATTCAAAACGTGGTATCTACAGCTACTCTACTTGAAGGTGGCAACAAATTAAATCTTAATAAACTTGCAGCTAATATTCCTAATGCTAAATATCGTCCTGAGCGCTTTTCTGCTCTAACAACAAAGATAAAAGAACCATTAACTGCTACCGCTCTACTTTTTGCTAATGGCCGTATAGTTTGTGTGGGAACAAAATCAGCAAGGGACTCGGAAACCGCTATTCACCATTTTGTTAAAATAATTTCCGCAGCAGCCGAGTTATTCATAAATATGCACAATTTTAGAATTCAGAATATAGTTTCTTCTTTTACATTTGGAGGATTCATAAATATGCCAGGTATCTTAATTATCGTGTAAAAAATAATCTTTAGCCTTGTATGATTCGATGCGGTTCGCTCCACCCTCATGGTTGGCTAGGCACATATCTTACAATCCTGAATTTTTTCCGGGGATGTGTCTAAGACTCAAGGAATCGCACACCGTTGTTATCATATTCGCAACCGGAAAATGCATTATTACTGGAGCACAATCAGAAGAAGAAATTTATTTAACACAAAATAAGATTTACAATTCAATATCGATGTTTTTGAAAAAATAAATTAAAAAATGCTTTTATTAATTTCGGTTCGTAATTCCATCAATAGTTCACCAAGTTTGTTCTCGCCCTCCCAAATACTTGGATCATTAAGACACGGGCTTTTATGGCTCAATCCATTACTCCAATGTAAATTTGATGTAGAGGCGTGTGTAATGAGTCCGTCTCCTGTTGCACGTAACTGATTGAAGAGTTGTACATTCTGAGTAAATTTGGCCCATAAGCCTGTGTACATTACCTAGAATTTTTATTTAATGCCTTGCATAAAATTAATCCTTACCTTATCTTTGACGAAATCCCATTCGTTTCTATTATAATTTTTCACACGGGTTCCAATTCGTCTTATAGCCAATGGATTATTAAGCATAAGCACTTCAGCAGCAAGTTCCAAATCCATAAAAAATCTAGCCTTTTGCCAGATAAAATACTGTTCAGTCGAATTGAACGTTCGACCAAGCAAAGTAAATGTTGTTATAAATCGGTTGTCGAATCCACATCTGGGGGAATTGAAAATAAATATATTTTGTTTTTGAGCCCCAATAATTTCTTCAGGAGGCAAAGAATTTTGTTCATGCTTCAAGTTAAGGCGTTCAAGCATAAGTGAAGTAGTTTCTTAAATTATTTTTTAGAAATTTTCAATGTAAATTTTTATACCGAGATTTACGTCGCTGATCATATTGATTCTGAAAGCTACAAATAAGTATTAATAATCAATATAGATATAATGTCTAAAACACTTTTGTTTAAAATAATTTTTAAAAAACATTTATTCTAAGTATAAGCATTAAAATTAATTTCCAGTTTGTTTATCGATTTCAACAAAGTCCAAGCACTCGATTGGGTAATAGTATTCATGCTTTCCACCACCCGAAACGCATACAAGTGGAAGATGAGGATAAACAAGATTGACACGGTGTCGAACATAATAAAATTGACTTAAAATATAAAATAGACGAATAAATAAAATACCGAATTGTTATTGATAAATATCCTCGAAGAGCAAACATTCGATCAGATCCCATTTCCGTAAAATGTTTAGGATACACTTCAATAAAACGATTTTTAAGATGATTTGTTATTAGACATCGCTTTCCAGGAAGTATACTGTTTTCATTAAATTCCTTTTGTCCAACACCGGCTTTCTTAACGTCTTCAAGAGACATACTTGTTAGTGATTTTATAAATTGCAAATTGTCGTTGTAATTATTTCGTATTTCACAATTAAGCATTTCTGGTACGCAACCTCCATTGAAGTCACAGAGAAGGTTGATAAGCGGTGTAGTCTTTATGCTGTTAGAATTTATTGATAATTTCTCTACCATCATTGTAGTGAGTTCTTAACGTTTAATTATTATCTAAATGGGAAAATTAATTTACCTAAATTGTCAGCCATTTTGATAATCAATCAACTCTGTAATCAATAAGTAATCAAATCTGAAAGTAGATTTTAAATGCAAAATGAAAAAATATTATTTGTATTAAACAATAATTTTAAAAATTATTTAAAATTTATTCGAAATATTTTATTCGGTAGGATCAATAAGCGGTTCGCCTCTGTATCCGTAAGGATAACAATCAAAATTGGCATCAACTATTCCCTTGTCGTAGATTGGCGCATATCGTCTAAATTTTGATTTTTATAATTATTATAAATATATGATACCTTTTTTGTGATCTGCTTGTAACCTCCCCTCTACGCCAACTTGGCTGAAAATGTGTTCTTTCCAAAATGACAGGTTCTTGTTCCTCCCCATAAGCTTCAACCATTCTCTGAAATATTTTTGAAATTTAGAAACGATCAAAAATAACCTTGAATTGTTCAAAGTCTAGTGGAGAATCAACTTTGTCCCAACAACCACGGCATTTTACAATAAATTTTATATCACCACTATTTTTGTGCTTCATTTTCATGGCATACTGGAAAATTTACGATTGTTAAAATATGTTTGTATACCTGCTTGCATCCTCCAGTATAGAATGCAATAATGTTCCATTCACCATATTCGCGGTCCATCATACCAAGCATCTCACCAACGCGAAAGGGGGGAGGTTGTCCACGGCGATGCACGTAAAAGCAGCTATCCGTGTCCGTATAAAGCAACTTGCATTCCTTTTCTTTAACTATTTTTTCCATATAGTCGTAAAGCATTATTCTGGCTTTTGCCGTTGTAATTAGTGCAATCGCAATATTGTATTTGTCATGTGGGCGTACAAATTCTCGTCGATGCCGATATGGAACGGAAAAAAGATTTGGAGCAAGCATTTCCACAGCCCCGAGCTCAAGTTTTGGATCATTAAGAACAGTGTGAAGCTCCACAGGGGAACTAGTTATACAATCCTAAAAATTTTTGAATGACAGATTTATATGGAAAAAACCTGTGACAAGTTACACCTCAGTGCCCATCGGCCCCACCTAAATTAAAAAATGACACACGTTAAAAAGTATTCTCACATTGAGTTATTGCATGTCTTTGCAAGGTAGCGCATTCCTTCGTTTCTTTCAATCCGTGATGGATCTAAATGTATTCCATATACACTCTGGTTTTTTTCAATAAATTCTCTTTTTCTCTGTTCCTCTAATTCAGTATTTTCAGGTACAAACACACTATTCGGCCATCCACTCGCCTGTATTGTTTTTATTAAGCCATAATATAATTTTTACCTCAATTTTTAGACGCATCATATCTTGAACATAGGGCCTCAACAAGGTGTCTGACCACTTTTCCCAATGATAAATGCTGTAAACCTTAGTTACGCGATATCCCTGCTTCAAAGCAAGTTCAAGTTCTACCGAGCAAGTAGTACTAACAAATCCTCGTTGCTCGTCTGTGTGCGGACACCATTTGTGACCAATTTCTTTGTTATATTTACTGTTTGCCCGTATTGCCACACCTGGAGATATTTCCACTGCACAACGATGACAAAGATGAAATATCTGTTTATTAATGATATAAAATTTTTGAAATTTTTTACCAATTTTCCGTGAATTCGTTCTGGAATTACTGGAAGATACAAGTCATCTGGCGGAATTATGAAGAGCTTGAACAATCCTCTATATGGATGTAAATCTTCAGGTTTAGTCCAATTCACATCCTTATTTAATTCCAAAATATTTGGATGTCCTAATAAAAATATAATTTTATTTAAATATAGTTTAAATTTACCTATAGGATAAAATGCATAAAAATTCACTGCAGGATAAAGGCTTACAACATCAAAACAAGAAATCTCAAATTCGTCTGATCCTTCTAAATCACATTTTAGAGCCAACGGTCCAGTTCTTCCCCCCTTAATTTAAAATTAAATACTACATTTCAATTAATTCATACGTGAAAAGCATCCCTAGGATACAGCGGGCCAATATCTGGCAATGTATCAAAAAACAGAGACATTTCTGGATCCTCTTCAAGTTGCTTCATAACTTCACATTCCCATACGGCAGTAGTCCAAATTCCCTCTTCATTCAATAAGCCAACACGTTCATAAAGTTTATCTTTATTATACAGCGCTGTCTTTCCATTTAAACAAACTTCATGTGGGCGGTATAAACTTTAAAACAATTTATTTGAAGAAGTATTAAAGTTACCATTCATGTCCGTGCCATGCACATCCCAAAAATTCAATAGCTTGGTCTACTCCTCCAATGTTTTTAATATACCCGTCGAGACGCAAAATACTTCCATCGGAAACGCGCACCCTTTTTTCTCCTTCTGGACTTTCTTGATGCTGAACTTGAAGACCTGTCTTGTGAGAAAGCCAGCGTAGAAATTTTAAAGCAATTGCTGATTGATTTGAATCCCGATGATAACCATTATCGGGAATAATCCCCATTTGATTTTCTTTCAAATAGTTTATACCTTAAGATTTTTCTTAAAATATAAGTTTTAAATCTTACAAAAATGACGAATACACGCGCGGGCAATTGTCATAGAGTTAACAAGTACGTCATCTCGCTTGGACGGCTCCGTAGCTAGTTCAAAGAAAAGGCGTTGAAGTTTGACGAGAGCATGCGCTAGAATACGCACATCTTGTTGACAATATTCGACAATTTGTTCACGAAGACAAAATGGTTCATTTTTAGATTTTTCATACCATTCTTCAAATTTTGCTCTTCTCTCTTTTCCCATCGAATCTGGGTAATAATAATGTTGATCAGGTAATCCATCAAGACGAACATTCATATTCTTATTGAAATTCCATCCATGAGGGAAAAAGGATTTTCCTCCTTCATCTATTTCAAGTGCAAGTGCTTTTGGGAGTTGTTCCAATTTAAGCATTGTCCAGTTGAACGAATCGCGAAACGAAATGAAAGGAAATCGCCTTCTTTGTTTCTTAATTAGGACTTCATAAAGCTTGTTTCCTGTTCTAGTAATTTTTGGCTCAATTCCAAAATGTTTGATCAATTCACCCAATAGTAGATGCATATCATATCGTCTGAAATTAATAATGAGAAAATGAATATAAGTAAAACAAACCCCCCATAATGAGAAATGGCATATGTTTTCCATGATCGCTCATTCCCCAATCCATTAATAATCCATTCCAAAAATTCGCGCAAAGGATTTGAAAACTCTGCAGCCGTCCATGTTCTCATCCTCGGGGCCCCTATACCGCAAGTTTTACAAATACCCGTTCGTTCATTTTTCCAATTATCATTTCTGATACATCGTGAACACATCAATAATGCCTAAAAATTTTCTATTTTTTAGATGAAATATTAAATACCGATACACAGTTCACATGATGTATCTGGTAGTTTTCA